TGGATATTACAGCTAGATTAACTTCTACCACCCAGAGTTAAACCCGATCTACCAAGTATATACCCTGGTGCAATGAGTCCCCACTTTTTGCACTGTATGAATTTGATTCATCTAACGCCCCCTATGGTCTGACATCTTCGGAATAACATATTTCCTGGGCTTCCTGTTTGAGGGTTTCGATGACAACTAACATGCTCCTTGCCACCTAAACAGGGTGTAGATAACAGCCACAAAAACAATAATACTCACAATAATACAAGTATTTTGTGGTCAATATTACCGTCAGCATACCAATAATTATTTTTTCCTTTTTAGTTTGAAGTGTGAGTAAATCTGTTATCCAGTTGAGAGCACCGATAGTTTATGCTTTTAGCTGCATAGCTTTAGAGATATTTTTTTTTTTTAGTTTTTTTGCAGTGTCGGTTAAAGTGTTGATTCTTTTGTCACTGCCATTCAGTTTCAGTGCCTCTGAAAAAGGTCTTTAGTGCTTTCAGCGAAGTTTGGTTTCTTCGGTTTGGGCTAATTTTTCGAAAGCCATTGGCTAGATTGTTGGACAGTTTCTGCAATAATTGCATTTACATAAAACTCTTTACTCTAATTTACTTTACTCTTTTTAAAAAACCAGCAGTGCTCGTTGAATGCATGAATATTTGAGCCGACTCAAAACCGATAATATAGATTTATATGTGAATTGGAATACTCCTTTATATATTCGAAAAATTCTACAAAGTAAATACATACTACATACTATTAGAAATATTTCGCTAAATTAAAAAACGATATTAAATTGACATTTAAATAATGCACAATTAACTTTTGTTTGATAACAAATGCGCAAATTTTGTGGCATCGTAATTGTAAATGAAAACTACTACCGAATGGTTAAATGAAATTTCATAAACGCACTATTTATTAGAGTTTCACACCAGCGTACACTTAATTCCAGGCAATTTAATTAACACTAAAATTCCAAAAGCAGCAGATGAAAGTGAAATTCTTAAGAAGGGTTGAAAATAGTTTGAAGAGATTCTATAAGATCTCACATTACTAACTACATTTTAAAAATTTGGTAGGTGTGAATGTTAATACCTATATTTAGAAATCAAAAATTATTACTTTAATTGAGTTTAAAATGAGGAAAAAAGTAACGTTCACAACAATCGTGATTCCAGGTAAATATTTAATGAACAGAACAAATAATTGAAAGTACTTTTATATAAAGTTAAATTAAATGGTATTTATTTGGGCATATTAATGCATTGAAAGTCACACAAAAAAATTAATAAATAATGGAAAGGAATAAAAAATCGTTGAAAAGACTAAAAAAATGTTGCTTTAAAGCGTGGGACCTTGGCTTAATAGAGGACTTACATTTTGATCAATTATACAAGTCGTACATATATACTTGTATAGATATATTGTTATCTTGTATGTACTTTCCTACACGAGTCACAAAAAATTTAACTATTATAATCGTTCGCACAGCTGTCGTCATAGCAATTTGTGTTGCTGAAAGATCGCATGAAAGGGCAGTCACATTTGCATTTTTTTGTTACGAATACCTATATGTGCATTTGGATTGCCAAAAAATTATAAAATTTGCGAAGTAAACATTTGTCTATTTTAAGTTAAAATTGCCACCATGATTTGATGATATGAGACAACCAGTATCAAACAAAGCTTTTTTATAGCAGGCTTTATTTGGCATGCAACATTAATGTCATAAAAAAATTGAAAATAGTCATTTAGTCCTTATGGATCGGCCAATCAGCTTCGAGGGATATAAGGGTTAATTTTACCATACCCATTTCGTAAGATATTGTAATTTAGGAATATTCAGTTAAATTTAGTCTGGTCCCCGCATTTTGAACGAAACATGGAACAATTGATGACGTTTAAATACAGATCTATTATATGACAGCGCTAACATTTTTGTATAATATAAACACCTCAGACGATGTTGAAAACAAAATATTTAAAAAGTTAAGAATAAAAGAAAAATAAGGCAAGCCTTTTGCCCTTGCAGGCCGGAGATTTTATAATAAACGTTCTATATGTAATATTATACATTTACAAAAAATAACATGACACAATCAGGTTAGAAATGGAATGTCGAACGCCGATATCCAGATCGTTAAAGACTTTGCCTTCAATCGCAATTTGATTCACCTAATATTACCGTACCTAGAAACCAATGATGATAAAATAATTTTTTACTAGTCTTTCATATTTTTGAAACGAAAAAGAACACCCTTTGAAAATTTCAGAATTTCTTTAGATATTTTAGAGGTATGATATAAAATTTTTGCGCGATGGTTACTTTTTACGATTTTGAAAAATCCAAAATTTTTTAGTTTTGGTAATTTTCAAAATTTTTTTCAAAACAATTTTATTTCCATATTTCTTTGAAAACTCACCAGCGTTCTTTGTTTAATATACAGTAGTTTCTGAAATTTTATATAAATAAACTCATAAAGCACAGAACTTAGTTTTATGATAAGACAAAACTTTCCACAAAAATTCACTGGAATCGGTGGGGTCGCGTCCAACTATTTGTCGATTTGACATGGAATAACCCACATATAATGATTTCGTTATATATTGATAAAATTGCTTGAAAACATCTTCTCGAGTATACCTGCGTAGTAATGTCAAAAGTTTGCTTTCTGCTCCCAATATACCCTATATAGTGATTACCGACTTCCTACCTTTAAATCGTTAGGTTGCTCAAAATGTGTAATATTTTCGTGAAATTAAGTGAACAAGTTTTTTTTTTAAATTTTCTGGTTAATAGCTGAATATCAATGGAGTTGGTTTAGACCTTGGCCCAAACCACATATCGCTAATGTAATAAGTGCCGATACTCTGGTTGACGTTTTGCACATCATCTAAATATATTAAATTTAGCCTCTTCAGTTGAGATTATGTTTGATATGTCTTATTTAAAGATGATTTTGATACAATTTTCGATGACGGGAAATAAAGTACAGTTTTAAGAGAAATACAGTATAGTTATAAAACTAACTAAGTCTATGGCCTATAATATACGTTAATAATATACAAATTTGAAAGTAATCTATTCCCGATTTCGCGAACGCTGAATGTTTTTTTTTTTTGCAACACTTTTGAAATAAAGTTTTGCCAACACCTGAAGATTTTGAAATTTTTGGTTACACCCGAATTAGCTCTTCCTTACTTGTTGTAAACTAAAACAATTTTACGATGATACCTTGAAAACGACAAATTGCAAAACTTGTGAATTGTTCAAGACTTTGTAATCAGTACTGTATAGGGTTTTGAAAGTTTTGGCTGTAAATTAATAAAATAACAAACAATATTTAGAAACGATAAAAAAAGCTAATTTTTATATGCATTTAAACATAAAATGTACTGAGTATATTAGGGTGGAGTGAACATTTTTTTTTTTATTTCTTTGGTTAGCCTGGGGGTAAAATCTGTAGATTATAAAAAAAAAATTTTTGGACAAAAACAAAACTCAGTTTCAAAGTAAATTTCGAGTAAAAATTTTTTTTGGACAAGAAAAAAAATTTTTATTTTAAACTCTTTACATTTATATAAAAACTACTGACTGTGACGGTTTTTGACTCAAAATTTATTTTAACGCTTAAGGAAAGCATGTTGTCGTTTAAGAATTTTTTTAAAACTCCAATAATGGAAAATTTACTTTAAAACTGATGTTAAAAAAAAATTTTTTTTTTGTCCAAAAATTTTCTTGTTTTATAATCTACAAACCCAGGCTAAGCAAAAACAAAAATTAATTTTTTTTTCGCTCCACCCTAATGTTTATACTAGCTTCTTCGTTTCGCCAAGCTTTACCCTTCAGAGAATCAAACAAACTACGCTATCCTATTCTAACATGTCTTCTGACACATTCGCAGTAGTGTTATGATTTTTTCTTAGTAGAGAAATTCTTTGATTCGTGTTACCATTTCTTTCAAACAGCTTAACCATTTCTTTTGGCTTGCTATAAATTAGTTTAATTGATTTTAAGTCTAATGTTTTAAAAATACAAGAAAAAAGAAATGTAATTTCAGTTGTCATTTAAACCATGCAGTAAAAGTGAGCTAAAATATGCAAATCAAAACTTGGCAGCATTGAGGATAGAAGTTATTTTACTTTACTCCGCGTACTCTCCAGCTTCAACTCAACTCGATAAATTTGTTTTTGCTTTCACATGTAAATTTTTTGACAAGAAGGTAGAGGATAACCAATCAAAGACAGCTACTAGCTCATAGGGAGTGGTGTTAAAATTTTGAGGTTATAATTCGACGTATATACATTTAGTATTATATTTGGGACTAATTTTCAGACGTCTTTTAGAGCAGTTAAAAAGAAAAGATAACTTAATTTTTTGTATCACTAGCCATAACCATCCAGGCTTTAATTTCACGTCCCACAAAAGACATTAAAAATTCAATGATCTAATATTTTGTTTGTTGTTTTCTGGCTTCACTTTGGACAAATAACATTTCGGTTAGGCATTCAACGTACGGATATGGTTAAATTCAATCAAGCCGTCGGCCGCAAATTTATTTCCTTCTGTGAATTCAAACTTTACCATAAAGAGAATATATAATGCAAACAACAAAAAGTTGAACTTGACTGATATGCTCTTATATACATATATACACACATACATACAACACAAGTTCATTTCAATTTTATACCCCACAAAAGTGCGAAAATCTCTCGGAAATTCATTTCATGCTGTGTCGCTGGCTTTGAACGCTAACGGTTGTATGTATTTACTTAACTATATATCAGTATATGTATATATAAAGAATATAATACATACTTCTGTACATACGCCAGTAGCTTGTGTGCTGTCGAAATGCTCTTTCGCCACTTTCTTTCTGTCTGGCCCCTTTTCGACCATAAACCCCGAATATATTTTTTTCACATTTATATATTTCAACATTTCGTTTTTTTATTAATTCACCGTGTGTGTGTTTTCTTTTTCTTTTCGCCTATATTTGCAGCTTTGATGTACGCGATAAAGTGAATAACGACCAACCGCGGCATTGGTCAGCGCCGGAGGTGTTCGGTTCTCGTGCCAAATTTCACTTCGATTCACAGCCGGCAACATTGGAAATTAAGGTAGGTTGGTTGGCCAGTAGGCTGAAGCACGGCTGTGGCTTGTCACTTTTTAAATAAATGAGTGATAATAAATATATATTTTGCCAAGCCGAATGCTGAATGTGCGAAAACAGATTGCCGAAACGAAGTCGTCGTTGACAGAGCGACGTGTGGGGGCGGGATGGTGTGCGCGCGCGATTGCACAGTTAGGTGTTCGCGAACGAGTTATGGCACTACACATATATAGGTTTATGGAAGGTCGCTTTAATACGGTCACAGTAGATTCGCGCTCAATCTTGCCAAGACCACTGGAGTGGTGGTATAGTGAAAGTGAAATATGTTCGGTAATTTGGTTGTTTACGCGGTTAATTTTGAAAATCGAAATAAAACGCCCCAAGCAGGGATTAAGCAGTGCGCACACACACACACATTATCCTGTTAATATTTGTATTTCCCTATAGGGGTCTTTTGGGTGATTAAAACGCGAGCACTCGCGAAAGTGCTTACAAATTGCCACAGCTAAGGGGGGAGACAAGTGATTTCAAGTGTCGCGACGTCCAATGAAATATACGCGACATGCAGAAATAATTGCCTTTAATCTTGATTATTTATTTAATGTCGAACTTTGGCGGTGCACGGATATAGCAGCGCTTAAAAAATCTTTACTATGATTACAGCGCTATGAGGTGGTGGCTGTAAATCCCATTCGGATAATTTAAAGGACATCAACATTTGCACCCAACCGTCTCAAGTTCCAATTAAAACTGTTATAAAATGAAATTTGATGAATTTTCGCCCAAAAATGTTATCTTAGTGAGAGTGAGCCTTTCCAATTGAGACATATTTGAGCCCAATAATTAGGAGATTTTTGCAAATTGTGGCGTTGATAATTAAGATGCGTATTTTTTTGCAGTGTAATTAGTGTACATCACTGCAGACAATAAACTCGCACTTTGAAATGTACAAGCATTTAGGCAACCCAGATTTTCATCATACGCACGAATTTATTTCAATTGAAATAATTATAATAAAAGAGAAGAGACTATACAATTTGCAGTACGATTTATGTTGGCCCAATGGTTTGACTAATTTGGTTAAAATTTTAAATATTCTAGTACCGCCAGATGGATAACAAGTAAATATGAGATGAGAACTTCCTTTATGTACGAATTAGAAGGATAGGTAAATTAGACATCCGTTTTACCAGCAAAATTGTTAGCCATAGATAAAGCTAGTAATCGCACAGTGTCAGAATATAAAGAGTATGCATAAGCTTCTCACAACCACACTCTAAGTTTTTGATGAGTCACTATCGATGTGTGTTGCCCGACGTTGTTCTGATGGAACCTTATTCCTCATTTGTTGATTAAAAGTGGCCGCTTCTGGGCAATTGCTTCCTTCAGGCTGTTGAACTGTTGACAGTAAAGGTCCGAATTAGCAGCTCATAGTAGCTGATTCCTTGCCAATCTCACCAAACATATAACATACCCTTCCAGAGTGTCACTCCTTGTTTTGCCACTGTTTGCGGTGGCTTACTACTTTTCGACCACGACCGTTTTCGCTGATAGCAATTCGGTCGAAGAAAACTTTTACCTTAACTTGTGTGGCACCAACATATCTAACTTGTTATTGTATTTAGTTCTATTTAAATATTTCTAACCGCATGACACTAACCATTTCTTTGCATGCCTAACGAGCCCCACTCATCTAACCCCTTCTACGGTCCGACCTGGTCGAAACGGCACGTTTCCTGGACCTACCGTTAAATGACTTTGACAACAATCAACCGCTAGCACAACAACAAGTCTAACAGTCGTGTTCCCTTGGCATTTTAAAAGCGGCTTCACAGCTAAAATCCCCAATTTTATTTTGTTTCGAATAGCCAAGTTCCTAGAATGTCCTCCCGTAGAGACTCTCTTGTAAATGGTAGTTTCAAAGATTGGACCAGTAGTTGTTTGAAAATTTCAATATATTATATATTTATCTCCTTTACACTCAACTATATATGCAAAACGTTTGAGCATTACCTTGCCGAATGACCAGATTTTTGCCATTTGAGACCAAGTACCCAGTTAACCGAAGTTTCAAATATTGTAGAACGAAAATAAGGTTTGATGGCAGAGGAGAAGCGCGCTTTTGCATGGTCGCTACTGAGTCGTTTAAAATTGATCGCTTAATTGGATACATTTGTTAGGTTAGCTTTAAAGGTCGATTTTGTGACAAAAGCCAATAAATATCTAACTTGGACAATGAGAATGCCAGTCCATTGTGATACCCAATTACTAAGAATGATCGTAAAGACCTTTACAAATCGGCAAAGCGCCAGGAGTCTGTCACAGTATTGTTCAGGCGGCTTAAAACAAATTCAGTTATTTCACGAGGTTTGCCGAAAGTATGAATATCGATATGTCTCAACCACAGTCTTGCAAAAGCTAAATAATTGAAGAAAAAGTACCTGGATGTTTCTATCGGACCTTTATACATACAAGATTATTAGCCTTAAGCTTGTTCTTCCATTCGATAATATCCCGTAAAAGCTCCTATAATTGCGGCAAGATGAATCTAGCTAAGAGTAAGTAGTTCTGTGGAGTGTTGCCGCTCTGTTGTTGGCGTGAATGCTCACTTCCTTCAAAGATGCTGAACTTTTGAGCAATACCTAAATGGCAGCCACTTCTGCTTGAAAACGTTACAGTACCGGTGAGTCTAGTTTCAGACGTTTGATTGAACGAGAGAGCTTCTTACGGAAAACTTCCGCTTCCACCTTCAATCTAAGCTTCGATCCATTTATGAAAAAGCTCAATGCGCCACTTCTCCTGCTTCTTCATCTATATAGCCCTTGTCTGGCCGCTTCTATTCACCAAGTTGGATGTCACCTTCAGGTTATTTGTAGTCATTAGACTTTTGGACTTTGCTTAGTACACTGATAATTGATATAATATTTCTGCCTTCTATATGTTAGCATTCCGTACAAAGCAACTTTCACTGAACTCAGATGCGCTAAATTTTATTGCAATCCATTAATCTTGTAACTGTGCCTAAAGAATTTTTACTTCAGTAATAATATCAAATTACCAAAGTTTTGTTAAATTCTATGCTTTGCATATGCTTAAATTTCTACCTTTTGATAAACCATATAATAAAGACAGTTGTTTGTTCTTTTCGATGAAAATTTAATGTATTTACTACAATTTATTTGCAGCCGCTACAAGTACTCTCCTATTCATCATACGCCATTCTCAACACAAATTACTTAAATAACTTACTTTCACATAAAAAGGTGTACCATAAAATAAACTAGTTTTATTCGTACTTCATAGGCGCCATTAGAATACTGCTGCGCGATTTAAATATTTGCCAAAATATTCCGCAATACCCAAACCACCGCAACCATTGCTGAATATGTTAATTTTTCATTCCGCATTGGCTGCCAATGACTCTAGGCACCTTCTCTTATGCATGCGCATATGGCTGTATGTGGCAAGGAAGTGGCTATGAGATTTTCCGTAGACATGCTTGCTTCAGATACCGATGCTAATTCGTGAATTTGTAAGTGTGTGTATGTGACTGTATAACTCTGTATGCGAATATATTCGCAACAGAATAAACAAATAGAAACAACAATAATACATTTTTGGAAATAAACTTGTTAAATTGTTTAACGCACGCGAAAACTATATTAGTGGCACTCATGGGGCGGCGAGCGCGAAGCGAAACGTGCAACAACATGCAAACAAATAGCAATTTGGCGCAGTGCCTTCAAAGCGGCAGATTTGTGTGTAAATGTGTGTGTGTGTGTGCGCCGCGCGAATGCCTTAAAAGGTAGTCAGTTTTGGCAAACACTTTACACCACACCAAGGCGTTCACGCCACACGCCTGCCTTGGCGCGCCTTACCACTTCGCGCTGTCGCACTTGTGAGCTTCCATTGAGGAATTTCGTGCCGCTTGTCTTGGTCTTGGCTTGCATGCGCTCCAATCACTTGTACAACATGCCACGCAATCCCGGGCACTTGCTGCCAATAACAACAGCAACTACTAGAATAAAAGCAGCGGCAACAACGACAATAAAAGCAACAACAACCAAACGAAAATTCCATTTTGCTTGCTTTCGTCCAACCAACGTCGGATTTAGCTGGCTTGTGACAGCTGCTCGACCAGATTTATCGAGTGGAACGTCGTAGTTGCGGTGAGGTAGGTGGCTAAGAATTCGATGAGCGAATCGATAAGCTGTAGAAAGTTAGCACCGCTGAACTCGTTCAGCGGAATAACAAACAAAATGCCAAAACGCCAAAAATGTGAAACAAGTTAAAGAATTAGCTTCGTGTCTGAGGCGCGTGCTTGTGGCGGACATTTTTGGAATGACTACTTTCGGGCATGTACAAAAATTAAATCTAAAACAAAAAAAAAAAATACACAATAAAAAACCTTCGACAACACAAAGCGTGCCTGCAGGTCGTGCTGACCACCGCCTCCTCGCGCCACCTACAGGTCGTTGCTATCTTTTGTGCTTTAGCACCCTGACTGAACCGACCGGCTGCGTGCTATTGTCCTACGAAATGCTATCGTCTATACCCATGAATTTATCTATAAATGATTGTGCTGTAAATGTGTATTTCGCTTTTGTTGTTTGTTCATATTCGTATGCAATCCATACATCTCTTACGATCTTACGAGATAGTAATAACAATTGCGACGGTCATTAGTTAACTTAATTGCGGAATACGTTGCACGTGCTCACCGCCCACATGCTCGGCCTGCCGCCGGCGCGTATGTCATCAGTAGTTGGCAGTACAAAGTGAATATTCAGCAGTCGTAACACGCTGTCCGTCCCGCCTCCGCTCGTCACTCATATATTTGTGGTATTTAATTGCTTGGCCACAATAAAAGATTAATTACGTGCATAAATAATGTTTAGTATGTTTAAGTGAATAAATTAAACAAGTTGAGGCTGTAATCTATTACTTACCAACTTACGTGCTTACTTACGTGTATTAACTGGTCTGCATTCCACACATTCATGACATTCAAGCAATTTCACTTTTCTTTGAATTCACTTGACTAGTTTTGTGAAATTGGAAGCGTTCTTTAAGTCTGGCCTAGTCCGTGTCACGCAGTATTACTGACAAGTAGCAGCATTCGAAGTATGTTTGAAGACATGCGGTTAAACTTTTACGCGCTGGTGTATGTGAGCTGCATAGTTTTATGAGCTGCTTCGAAATTATTTATATAGCCTCTACAAATTTATGCTTAGGCACTTAAAATTCGAGTATAGCAATTCCAACTTCATAAAACTCTGTTAAATAGTAATCGATCTCTCACTAACTGCTTGTGCCTAAGTAAAATACTATATATGATGGTCGTAACTTTCAAGATCTGATTATCTGATGCTCTGTAAGGTTTTGACAAAAGGTGAAAACAAGTACGATTTTGTGAATAGTTATGGAAAATCAATGCGGAAATGCCGATAACACCTATTGTACCCTGAACACAATATCTTAAGCCAGTAAGTAAGCAACGCCCAGAATGAAACGTTGGCGACCATATAAAATATGGTATGTAAAAATGATCAGCGTGGCAAGTTGAGTTGATTTACCCGTAGTATTAAATATATGAAGGAAAAATTAAACATAGGGACGGAAATCCTGGAATTGAGGTTGTCAAAGCCAGCTTAAGGTTTGGATCGGTTGAATCTTCTGCTTAAAAATATTTTAGTCACGAAAACATCTTCACTTCAGTCTGATCAAAACTGACCCGGACTTATTATCACTTTCGCCTTATCGGGCTCCTGAGCCAACACAAGCATGTCAACGCTTCATTCAATTTTCAAAACACTTGTTATAAGTTTTGATTGGGAGATTACTAGATTGTTAAACTGTTTCGATTTCATATTCATAAACCGACGTCTCGTCCTCAGTATTGATGGGCTTTTTGCGACTTATACTTGACGTCAGTTTGCAAAAGGTTCATGTCTTTTGGTACGAGTCTAGCACTGACACGTTTTATACCTGAAACATTAACCGAATAGAGTTGAGTGAATTCATAAGAGATGTTGAGATCATTTACTATCTCTCTGATGCCAACACGATGATTTTTAGGCCCTGTGAATGGACGATTCGCGTGAGCCAAGTTTTCGATGTCTTCACGACCTTCACTGAATGCTTCGAGCCACTCAAATACTTCGTTTGAGATAAAGTAGACTCCCCACAACGCTTCTGTAACATTTTCAACGATTCTGTATCCGCTATTCCGTTGGAAATACAAAATTTTAAGAAAAATCATTTTACTATTTTTTTTCGATGGTAAAAATCGCTAGACAAAATTTCGCGACGTAAACAAACTGCTGACAAACACAACTAATTGTCATATGGAGATCAAACTTCACACGGATATAAGAAAGGTTGTACAACTCTAGCAAACGAATTTGTATCGCCATTTTATTCTGATGACTGATATTTTCGTTATAAATTAAGTTAGGGCTTTCTAAAAGGTATAGTTCGATTTCAACCATTTTTACGTGAGTGGTGCTACACCAACAGTAAATTTTTATGTAAAGTTTTGTTCCGATATCTTCTTGGAAATTGATACATTGTAAAATGAAAAAATATACTGGAATTTGAAATTCGATGGGTGTCAAGCCCATTTCCCTTTTGAAATTTGTTAAATTTTTCTTTTTTTTTATCGTTATTTACAACCTATATGGAGTCCCTAAAATAAATTTGAGTATGAGAATCTTTTTTGTATTCAGTGTGTTCCATATTTTATTGCTTATGTTCGTTTGAGTTTGTGAGACATATTTCGGAAACTTCAAGTCATTATAATTCGCTTAAAAAATCCTTACACATCAAAGCAATGCTCAGAAAATTTAAAAGCAAAAATGAATAACGATTGTTGTATTCTACTAGTACTTGCAAAACCCTTTGTTTAATGATTATTCTGCCTTCCGACCTGCATACCGAGAATCAGTCTCTTTAACTAAAGTAGTTTTAATGACGGATAATCGGAAGCAAAATTGTTATCATAGCCGAAAAAGTGTTAGGGAAGTTTTAAACGTAGAATAAGTATTAAAATCTACCGCTGGAAGTTTATTTCGCAATTTATGTTTTCTCAATTCCGTTCCGGTAATTTTGGAGTCAAAAATGCACCACTCTCTGGAATGCCATATATCGAAAAAATCGATAAAAAAATGGAAATCGTCAAGCACTCTTTTAATTGCTCAAGAACTTAAGATTGCACCAAAAAACAGTTTGGAACCATTTAAATAAGGATATAAACTAAGATCGATTAACGCAAAAAGAATCGCAAAAAAACCGATCCATTTCTGAAACGAATAGTAAATGAAAAGTGGATCATTTCAACCACATTTAACAGGCGGAACTGGGGAACAAACCAAGTTGGTGGTATCAGGGCTTCAACTACTATAAGCTCCTCTGTTATGGCCAAACTAAAATCCAAATACACTATGACTGTTATTAAACCTTGCCAAGAAATATCAGCATAGTTATGTCAGAAATAATAAGCTCTGGGAGCTTAGTTGGGGGTTCTTATTCATTCACCTTATAGCTCAGGCCTGATACCAAGTAATTGCTACCTGTTCCCAGCTATGGTGAAACATTTTGCTGGGGAAAAATTCGCTTCGAGTGAACGAAAATAGACTGTTCCAGCTTTTTGTCAATAGGTACCAGTGCATATGTAAGTGACATTGTGAAATTACTTTTAGCTAATGGATAAAATGGGGCATAATTGACCTAAACCAGTTATGCTAAATTAAAACCTTCTATTCATTCTAAAAAAGTAGAACAAAAATGGATTTATTTTTGATAGACCCTATATTATAGTGCACAACAGCTTTAATTACCGCCTTTCGCAGTAGGTTGAGTTTTGCTCTGCTATTTCCAAGCTACTTCCAAGCTACTTCCAGAATAATTAAAAAATGCGAAAGTGGTCTATAAACTCCTTTTTATGACATGTGAATTTTATTGTGAAAATAAAAGAGCGTGCAAGCATATTTTTGGTTAAAAACACATATAAATTCCACAAAAAGGCATGAAGGGTAGCTTGTCGTTTAAATAAGAAGCTTAAAATTTTAAGACATGTAAAAATTTAACATCAAATGAAAATTTCGTATGAGGCTATAGATATTAACTTTCTTACGTATTAATTCAATATATGCTTCTTTATTTGCAGGATATCAAGCGACACGACCAAGGTGTTTACCGCTGCCGCATCGACTTTCGTACAAGTCAAACGCAGAGCTTCCGCTTCAATCTCACCGTAATAAGTAAGTTTTAAAATTCCACACACTGCGCACAAGCTAATTGGCAACAAGCAGTCTAAAACATCTTAAAATAAAAAGTTGATTATTAGTACAAAAAAAAAAGAGAAAATAGTTCATCACTTAGAAATTCCTTAAACGCACACGCACGGCCAATTATGGATCTGCTAAACTAACTTCCTCTTTGCAGTACTTCCCGAACAGCCAATTATATTGGATCGCTGGGGGCGACAGCTGAACGGCACGCTACTCGGACCGAAGCAAGAAGGTGATGATATTGTTATCACGTGTCGTGTGGTGGGAGGTGAGTGAATTTATACTTTTGTTTTTATTTTACTCTGAACCAGGTATATTAAGTTTGCCACGAACTTTGTAACACTGAGAAAAAAACGTTGGAGCCCTATTAAATATCTACATAGGAAAGCTTGACGAGCTGAGTCGATTTCACCATGTCCGTCTGCCTTTCAGTCTGTCAATATATACGCGAACCAGTCTCTCAGTTTTTGAGATATCAATCTGAGTTTTTACGTACGTCCTTTTCCTCTCAAAAATCAGTTTATTTGTCGGAATCGCTGATATCGGATCACTATAGTGTATAAACTAATCGATCGACCTCAAGTACTTGTATTTAAAACTTCTTTATTTGACAAGTATTTTCACGAAATTTGGGAAATATTATTGCCCAAGGCAACGTTGCAGTTTCCAAACATATTGTTCAGATCGGACAAATATAGCGTATAGCTGCCATACAACCTGACCGATCAAATTCAATTGCTTTTAAGGACTGGTTGAATCTGTGAAGGGTTTTATAGCTTAGGTGCAGCCGAAGTTAATGTTTTTCCTTGCATTGCCGCGAATTTAAAACTTTTGCGTTTAATAACGGTATTATATTAGTAACCTACAGATGATATATTTTCAAAACTTCGCACATTTTAATTTCAAAATTCAATTTCCTGTCAATAGCTCATCAGCCAAATGGATTAACTTTCTTTACAAAAACAAACAAACACAAAAACGAAATAACAAAATAGTATTTCCTATGCCACATATACACACACCAATGTACAGACATAAATATACACCAGTTAATTTATTTGCAACCACTTTGTGATAAACTTATTGGACCACTTACTGAAGTACTTTCTGTCTATTTCTTCCTTTTTTCAACGCTTGCTGCCACAACGACTGCTTCAACCACAACGTAACAATCGTTTATCAAACAACAACAACAAATACCACACACAACTGCTGTTGCTGCTGCTATTACAACAACAACATACCTTTGTCTACACAATCACCACCCCGCCAGGTCGCCCTCAACCCCAAGTACGATGGCTCGTAAATGGACTACTTGTCGACAATCAATACGAACACAATTCCGGCGATGTTATCGAGAATAGGCTACTTTGGCCATCGGTTCAACGGACTGATTTAAATTCCGTTTTTACTTGTCAAGCATTGAATACACAATTAGATAAGCCTAAGGAGAAAAGCTTTTTGCTTGATATGCATTGTAAGTTGGTCGTCGAGTTGTTGTTGTTTTTCTTCGTTTTTTTTTCTCTCAAGTACAAACTCGAGCGCGTAGCGGTACAGCCGACGGTAAAGGGAGCGACAGAAAACTAAAACGGCTCGTGACTAAACGAATTGGCGTCGGAAGTTGCTGGCCGTTGGCGCAGCGGCGTTCTCAATAGAGGCCAGCAAATATATTCGTTCGTATTCGTTTAGAGGGAGAGCGATGGGTGGGCCGAGTGTAGCCTCGCGTCACATGTATGCCAACGAAGCCTGGCTAAATGAAAATAAACAAAAGTTCACAGGCATAAAGTGACACACGCACACATGCACACACATATACAGGCGGCGTAGACGCCTACTACACCATCACCGGCGTTTGCACCTAAAAGTATGCTAACGTATTTTGATGTTCTAATTAGGCAAAGGTATTCACATGCTTGTTTGCGTAGCGTATGCTCATGTGTGTGTGTGTGCGGTGGCACAACATTGCGGCATTTAAAAGGTTCTAAGGCCACAGCGTTACATAGTTACACACATACTTACGCGCTGCCACGTTTCGCCGCTTTGTACTCGTTTGGCAAGCGCTTCTCCGCTTGTTTGTTTAGCGTCGCCGCTAGTTTTTTTTTGCCTCCGTGTGCTGCGCCACATAGTGCCGCTACTCGCTCTAACTTTTGTGCCATTTTCCAATTTCACTATTTGTTTTTGTTGCGCTGATGTCTTTGTTTGTTAAATTTTTATCGCTCGTATTTGTTTTTCTAGTGAAACCGCTGACGGTGAAAATAATTGAGCCACCCAATTCGATGGTGGCGGATCGTCGCTACGAAGTCATATGTGAATCAACCGGCTCACGTCCGAATGCCATCATCACCTGGTACAAGGGGAAGCGGCAATTGCGGCGCACAAAGGTGGGTGCATGCGTATAAATTCTATTTAGAAAAGAAAATTTAAAATTCAGAGTTGTATGCCACTGAATTAGGTGAGCAGTGGTTGAAAAAATACTATATCTAATTTTCTACGAATCTTTTGTTCTGTTAAAAATAGAGGTGTCGAATCGTGTTTAATTTTCTACTATATACATGTGCTATTTTACTGAGAAAATACGTATCATATCCGAAATAGTTCAGTAAATAGTAAAAACCTCTAATCCTCTTTACTATATATGTACTAGAAATTTTTGACAATTTAGTCAAAAATATCTCTCATATTATTGCATGGGTTTTAAAACTTTAGCAAATCATTATATTCGAAAAACTGCAACTCACGCTGCAAAATCTGTATTTAAAATATAAAGTTTTGCAACGATTTCCTTCCTTTTTAAACTATTCGAGCTAGTCAGCTGCACAATTCTTAATTAGAAGAATTGATTTAAAATTATATATCGCAGTTGCATTCGCTTTTTAAAAACGTCTACTTAAAAAGTATTCAAAAACAAATCTGATTATTGTCTCAGCACAAATCAGTTTATTAAAATAGGTAACCCTTATTACGTGATTCTTTTTAAATTATTAATTTTAACATTTTGTTGTCATTCAGTGAAAAATGTTCACTTAGATAGTATTTGGCATTTCATCTGAGCAATATCATTGGCCTTTGCTTTAAGGCAGACGTATATTCGCTATCACCCCTTTCATAAAAAACTTTTAACCGAATATATCCCGGCTTATCTGAAGTTCCCACTCTATCTGTTTCGGTCTTATTATAGAATTCTAATCGGATTATTTAGTGAATTTTCATTAAGTTCATTTCCTATCGTTTAAGAAAACGTAAAATCGTTCATAATTATCAAAGTCACTCGCCCTTTAAAAAAAAAATAAAACAGACAATTTGAAAATGTCAGAATATAGCTCCAATGAAACACTTCCACAATAGTGAAGCAAAGAGACGAGCTTAAGAACATTTACCAAACTTAATGTTGAAACACTAGGTTTCTTAAAAATAAATCTATAAATTGTAATTATCAATATTATGATAATTATCCATTCAATTGAGGAACTTAATTTAGCATAGTTAGAATGATCCGAATTAAAGAAGCATCGTTTTTTTAATAACTTTTTGCTACTTTGAGGCTAATATAATAATATCACACTCATACAAAGGCCCTGGTCCCTATTGGCAATAAGATGGGACAGTCGATTTCACATGCTGCTCTTAGAGCGAATTTTTCACAGCACAATCATTCGCCATAGACAACAATAGGTAATCCCTTGGTATAAAGTCCGGACTATAACGAGAATGTATAATTTATAATATCTTTCAACCAAACTCCCGTAGCTTCTGTTTATTGAATTTTGCCATAACTGTACCAGCACAAATGATGCACCCCCTTCAGAAAGACCACAGTACGCAGTCATGACAGAAAACATGGCGAAGATTCATGAAATTTGGTTGGGTGTGCATAAAATGAAATTAATATTAGTTAACATTACTGATAACTCAACGGATTATGTAGATCATATAATCCACAAAATTTTGCACGTCATAGACGCAAAAAGAGACTAACTAGAAAAATATTTTACTCAAATGAAAGCAATATGCATAAAAACATCCTATTTTCAAGGCTTAGAAGCTTCACACTATCGAAGCGGTAATAAAATATTGAAGGATCCTGTAAACAGTAGTATTGCTATGGAGGTTATGTTTATGGATTAAGTCATCGTTTCCTACAAAAACAAAGGATTTTTAACCCATCTTTCAAACTTATCACAAGGTGAGGTTTGTTTTGGTTCTTTAAGTGGCATGTATGAAATTAATTATTTTAGTGGAAATGTTAAATGATCTTTTACAATCAAAGTATTTTGCTATAAAAACATGTTACGTTAGAAATTTGTAGAAACTTTTTTCCAAAGGCTTAGGTTTTTAATCTAAAAGACTAAAACTTGCTGACCAGAAAAACCGTACTATCATACAATAGAATCTTAAGAGGAATCTTCATTTATTTAAAACCTAAAGAGCTATAGATCCCAATATAATATTAATAATATATTAAAGTTTGACTAGATATCGATAAACAAGGGTTTAAATGTACTTGATGCTTAATTTTCTTACATTTTGTAAATTATTTTATATTTATCTATTAAATAAGCTGAAAACTACAAATATATTCAGTTTCGTAAAAAAATTATATTTAAATTTACCTCTAATTGTATATTGTCCAACACACTGTGCCGCCATTCAATCAACTAAGCTCACTCACGATCTATTGACACAAGTGTGACTGTGTGCGGCACCAACTGCCATGCTGCAGCGTGGCCTTCTTTAACTACTTTGCATTCATTGTGCCATTAATAGCATGCAATGTGTACCTTTCATTGTTTTAGTTGCCACGTTTTCAGTGTTCAACTCCGTCAATTGAATGAGGGCCAATACGGACGCGCCCCTTTTACCCACACACACACACTTATCCATATTTATAGAATAATATATAAGTATATAGGCAAGTGTGTAAGTAGTATGCACTGGGTGGGGCTGCTGAAATGAGTGGGTTCGCGTAAATGTATTGCTTGTTACTTGTGTGATAATATTAGCGCACTTGCTATGTAATTTGCAATAAGCAATTTAAAAGCGGAAATGAAATTTTCACTACAAAATGTAATGTAGCCGATGGTAGGCCAAGTGCTGCAACACATGTACTGCATTATAACGGTATATATGCCGAAGAACATGCTATCAATAGGTGGCGCACAAATTTCCATACATTTTGCTATACAACTAAATATTCGTATGCTAAACTGTACAGCGGGTAATAAATATATTTCTCTCGGCAGTTGCAAATGCAGTGGGTGTGCCACTTACTTTCACCACTGTTGGACATAAATTTGCTGCCAAAGTGTTGAAATGTATAAATCAAATGGCGTTAAATAACATGTCTAACTCAGTTGTTGAAAAAAAATTGAAAATGAAAACAAAAAAATTAAAAAAATAAAACAAATGCGAATCGACGCCTCAAGCTTCTGTCGATATTTGCAATTTAAAGTTAAATTCATATTTTAATTTTTTGTGTTTTAGGATGATATCTCCAAGAATGTTACACGCTCTGAGCTAAGTTTTGTGCCCACCACAGATGATGATGGCAAATCAATAACTTGTCGTGCTGAGAATCCAAATGTGAATGGCCTCTATCTGGAGACAATGTGGAAGTTGAATGTCGTATGTAAGTACACCTTTCGAATTCTTTTCTTCTTAAACAGTTTTTATTTTGATATTATATATGTGCTAAAAAGAGATTAATAACGTATTGTTAGGTTTATGATCGAATATTCATCTAAAATTAATATTGTTTTTTAGACAGGTATAAATTTAGATAGGATAGGATAGGATAGGGTTTTAACCACGGTTTAAGTTAGTTGGAATCACATAAATTGTGTCCTTATGCAAAATATAATAGTTAATAATAAAATAACGGGTTATTTAACGAATGGTTGAACATATGAGTGGAGAGTTAACTAAAGATTAATTTTTATTCAAAGTCGAATATACAAGTTCAGCAAATGATAACACTTGTCAACAGTGGATATAAGATCATTTTTGAAAATATTTCTGCTCACAGCTCATTCGATTTTATAATATTTGCTCTCGTTTATTGTAAAATTTCTGTTTCTTTTTATTTTACATTACAAAAATCATAAAATAAGAAAAAAAATAGCAGATGTATTTACAAAGTCGGTTTTGTTTTAAAACTCAAGGATATAGCTCAGTAAACAGAGGAAAAAACGTCGAAAATATTTGCTATATTTCAATAAAGCTTCTTATATAGTTTTCTAGTTGAATTCTTTTTTTATACGCATCAGCAGTAATTGGTCATCATATGGCTATCCCAGCAACCCTGATACCTTTCTTCAATAACTTTTATATATTGATGAAACCGCTTCTCTGTTTCTCACTTTAATCTTAAGATTGTCTGAAAATTTATTCTAATGATTGCGAAGATTGTCTAACTCAGTTTGGCTCTTCGAGTCTGAAAGCTTGTCAGCATATCTTACAAAATTTTACAAAAACTTTTCCAACATAAAATATCTGGAACAGTCATAACCTTAATAAAATCTGTATCTATCATTACTTGCCGTACATGAAGACCATGACCATACTTCATAAGCTTAAGCCATAAGCTTCGGATATTTTCTACAAATGTAATTAAAACAATATCCTTCAACGTCCACCACTTCGAAAAGTTTGAGAAAATAGCTTTGGCGTAAATGTTTCACCTTCCACTTTCACCCGTAGACTGTACCGATTTCTGGGAACTTGGCGACGTCATTATTACGAAGGGTTCAAAGGGAAATTTTTTTTGAGTACAACAGGATATTTTGTTTGTAAGTCTAGATATCTCCACGTTTGATTTTTAGTCAAACCTTCTGCATACAATTTTTTCATGTTTTCATATTTCAAAACTAACTCGTAGGGCAAATATTTTTCTTGGTATAAAATACGATTACCTTTTCAGTCCAATTATTTTAACAATGTGTATATTCAGCATACAATTTTTACTTGTAGTTGGTTTGAATTTATATGGATCTGCCGGGGTCAAGTAACAAATATCAAATAAAGTTACATATATTTTATATCCAAACTAACAAACCCTCATTAGGAGACTCCTTTGAGGCACGCCCTACTAAATTTGAAAACTCTAAAAATCAGGAAAAGTCTAAGATTTAGTATTTATTATTTTGCTAATAATCTTTTAATGATAATAAATATAACATATATCCTAAGCATTTTAAGTATTTCTTATTATAACTTATACAACCTTACCTTTCGTCTATACAGATCCGCCTTTGGTAACGCTGCGACTTGGTTCTACTCTCACACCTGATGATATTAAAGAAGGAGACGACGTATATTTTGAGTGTCACGTACAATCGAATCCTCAATGGCGGAAGCTCTTGTGGTTGCATAATGTAAGTTATTTGGTATATGAGTATGGCAAGTGTATACACATATATATTTACATTAGGGTATCCGTTATTTCAAAAATATATTTCGTTTTGCAAACGTCCACTGAAATTTCAGTTTTTGCCTTAACAAAAGTATTCAATGTATACAAGCGCTTTATTTTCAATTCAAACCATGTCTAAATCATATTCCTTTTCCGATTTATGTATATAACATGGAATTTCTGGATATTTATTAAGCAAGTAAATCTACAACTTTTAAGATGTGATATTCTGATACAAAATTTTTCGCTCTACAAAAAAGTACTTTTAACTTTTTCCATAAAACATTCCTTTTAAATTTATACGCACATTTGATGTATAACTTTAACTGCGTATAACGTTTAAATTAATTTTTTATGAAAAAAATATTCGGAAATTTTTGGTAGACAAAAAAATTTTGTATTGAATACACATTTCCTTAAAGTCATAGGTTTATTTGCTTTGGATATAAATATAAACTTAATTGCACAACATCAAAAAAATACTATGTATGGAATAAGAAATATGATTGTTTGTTACTTGGATACTTTATTTTAGGGCAAAAACAGAAACTTCAGAGGGCGTTTGCAAAAAAAAAACGACAACTTGGGAAGAACGGACACCTTAATGTTTATGTACATACAAGTACACACAAGTATGTCAATTAAACTGCTGTAGGTGGAACAGCAATTTTAAACATACAAGTATATCTATATGTATATACCTATTAAATATATCTTTATATTTAAGCTTACCTATATATATAGATATAGGTATATACGTACAAATATATTTCCGGATGTGGGACAGTAGCTAAAAGCCAGTATTTAACGCACGGAGGAGAGCTCAAAGTCAAAGCGGATTTTAGTACTGAATTGATGGAATAGTGTTAAGACAGAACTTACAGTACCGCAGGGTGTTTGTGACTAGCTGCGTACTGCATTCATAGACTGTGTACGCCAATTTTACCAGAGGCACTAATACGTACATACATATGCATAAGTACTTCTGTGTAGTTGTGTCGCCAGATTTAAGTTTGCAGCAATCGGGAATACCCTCAAACCATCGGGAATTTCCGCAAATATTTCGCCCCGAAAAACACTTTTAGTAAATGAAAATTTCCCGTAGACACAGACAAATAGCTAACGCAACCATGTGGTTATACTAATGTGAAATATTTTTATGTGTTTGGGTGGAGTGTTTTATTTTTTGTTTTCAATCTATTTACATAGGTGGTTTATGTGTGTAAAAGTTAACTGACTTACTTTCTGAAGAAATATATGTTGAAATATTGAGCTTTAACAACTGAGCCAAAATTGGCACAAAGACGTTCAAGAGCCACATAGTGTCTGATGTGGGCAAGTGTTTAGAGGCAACGAAAATTAAAAGTTATTTTGCCGCCTTGATGACACAAAGGTGTAAATGTACTATAATTAATTTAACTTTGTTTCTCGTTGTAGTTAATAGGGTGGGTAGGGTAGGTATACCTTGGTGTTCTTAACTTGATCTGATTGTACTCAAGATTGGCGGCGGATTTTATTTCTTTAGTGTCATGTGCATATTTAACAAACCAATTCGTATGCTCTTTTTAATATATGTATAGGTACTCATATATAGAATTGGTTGTTTATATCTAAACAAATGTATACTTTTGCCAACGCAACTTTTTCGGTCATATAGGTGTCTTCAAAAACTAGCGATTCTGTCCATAAAATATTGGCTAAGTTTGGCAATAGGATAAAGGGACGACTACTGGCTGCAGGAGAATTCACATACAGAACCTTCGGGCATATGGTTCATACTTGATCTCACTTTTCAATTGGAAAGCGATGAAGGTACAGCAGCTGCGCGCAACACATTCAATATTTATACAGATAGCTGAAAAATTAAGAACGGAGTTGGTGTTTTAAGCTGCCCAACTGAAGAATGGTTCAAATCGAACCAATAGCCTAAGTTAGGTTAGACAGCTGATTCCTCAAGAAGCCACATAAGACTCCTGTAGTTGTAAAAGTGAAATCAAGGCTAAGATTGATTTGTTAAAAGCGGGAAGTGTTGAGATGATTCTATCTTATCGTATTATCAGGGGGGCTCCTAGCCGTTCTCATTCGATGTCAGAGATAAAATGTAGATACATCCATTCACTAGTCTCGACCTCATGGTCAGCGAGCTCAAGGCTAATATCGCCACCCTACTATTAAGTGCATAGTTACCAGTCTGAAAGAGGCTGTGCTCCGGAACAGTAAATCTACTGCTACCTTAATGGCAGTAGTTTTAGTGTAGAATTTTCTTCTGAGGGAAAGTTCGAAAACTTTTTCTGAAGTTCCGCGTCGGTATACGCTCTTTTTTCTATGTTTAAATAATAATAATAATGATAACATAATGATTTTCAGTAAGCCATTTGTTCTACACAATTTTATCTCGAGATAAAATAGAATCTGTTTGACAATATCTCTTTTCTACAGTTCCCAAAGCAGTATAATTGATCAAGAAACTTCGAAAGCGTTATTGTTGCTCGATTTACAAAATGAGTCTACTTGTATAAATGCAAAATACTATTAATAATTTTAGCGAAGTTTCACCCAAATAGCCGTAAAATCAAAGTTAATGTAGAAGAACTTTTGTTGAGGAAACCCAGTGTAACACCACCTGCACGATATATAAGTATATTAATGTGAAAATTCAAAAGCCCCTCTTTTAGTGCCCTGAAGGTTGTGCCGGCTAGTTCTACTCCTTAAGTGCATTAAGAACTCCCGTATAAACAGTATATGATTATGTTGAATCATCTTTTCTGATAAATGGTTGGGAAAATATAGAATCATCATACTTTGCCAACATCGGACATCCGTCATCCCACACACAAGCAAACAAATCAAACATCCGACACCATGATGTACCAACGAGAGCTTAGATTTTTTTCACATTTTCCAGACACAAACAACAAATGGCATTTCAGGTGCTAAACCACCCACCTGTTGCCGAAGCAGCGCGCAAATTGCCTCAAGACACTAGTGTAACCCTTTTGTAATTAGATCCAGGCTTTATGTCAACATATTAAATATACAAGTATATTCTGTAACAAAGAATTCCTACAGGACATGAGTCTCCAAAAACAAGTACTCGTGAGTGGACTCACAAATACGATTAGGGACAACCAATATCAGCCAATATTGCTCCACAATAAAGTAATGAAGAGAATAATCTGAAGGAGTATTAGCTCATAGGAACCGACATTATATGTACTTATATATAGCTCAATTTTATTTATAAAATATATTAAACCTATTCTATATATACAAAGGTTAAATTAATTTATATTTTAATTTATTTTTTCCACCCTCTGCAGAACATTCACCTCGAGCACAACACTTCCGCTCGCGTCATACGCTCCAATCAGAGTTTGGTACTGCAGAAAATCACCAAACACTACGCAGGAAATTATGCTTGCAGCGCCATCAACGACGAGGGTGAAACTGTCAGCAACCAACTACCGCTGCGTGTAAAATGTAAGTAAAAATCTAGAAAAAATGCCTTAGGCCTCACCAACTGTACTGTCAAAGCTGGAGCAAGTAAAAAGGCAAATAACAAAAGTGTTTCCAAATATTCCACTTCTTCGCCCCCTCCAGAGAAAGACTATCGAAATAAAACAGTTTTGCAAACATCCCACTGTGTTGTAACTTTTGTATGCTCGAAATTCGTATTTATTTCCCCCCCCCCCCCCTTCATTGTGCTTGGAAATTCTATTAATGTTAGCTGTTGGCCGCCTGCTGTGCAGCAGGTATTCTTAATCAGGTTCTGTCCGAAACTTTGTTACCTAGATTGAAGACATCGTAAACAGCGTCAGCCAGAATTCTTCACACCAACCACACTAGCCTTCATTTTCATAATACCTTCAGCTTTGCCACGCTTGCTTCAAGTTCAAAATCAATTATTTACATATTGGCTTGAGATGCTAAAGTGTAAGAATACACACACGGACATTAGTGTGTGGTCACATGCTCGCATAGTGCATACATATGTATGTGTACCAGCTTGCAAGTGCCGAACTCATCACTACATGAAGAGTTTCGAAACTTTCCACTATTCCGCTAGTTTACGTTAATAATTCAGTAAATACATGTGTTGCATGACAATGCGGTTAAATGTAATGAAATATGTGGTTTTGGACTGTACTACATAGCTTAAAGACATACATATGTAGGCCATATACACATTTTAAGCGGAAATTTGCGGTAGAAAGTTTGATTTAAAGTTGTTTTATATTCCATCGTACTAGAGTTCGAAGCTGAGAAAGTGTATATTACCTGGAAATTTAAGGAAGTTTTATAGAAATATGAACAGTAAAATACCGAAGTTTTTTATAAATCTTTTCAGCCAATACTATATCACTCAAGACCATCAAAACGGCTTTCAGATTTTTCCTACTTAAATACTTGAGTTAAATACTTGAAAACTTGCAAAGAATCCGTAGGAAAACGTTAAGAGAGACGCCCTTATCATCTTCCTTGTAGTATTCACAGCGAGGTAAGGGACTATATACAGTCTAACGTTGTATGGAAATTTTTCTCTGCAGTCTGATGGTCTATCATAAAATCCGATAATTCCGAATTACAAGTCTCGAAAACCCAGCTGATGAGCAAGAAACCACCTATACTCAACGCAAAGTTTTGTTTTTTAACTCTAAACACTGTTTTTCGAATTCAGGGCAATCTACATTATAAACATATCACTCGATATTAGTAATAGAGTACTCATTAAACTGATATTGGAAAAAAATATCAGTGCTTCGAGAGATTTTAGATTTTAAAAATTAGTTAAGCCCAAAATCTTCAAGCATGTGTTCTGTGTATAGATATTTCCAGATGTGGAAAGTTTTGTAGTGTTTGGAAAAGATATGTGGACTGTAATAATCATCGCAACACCTAAAACTCTTTTTCATCAAAGTTGAGCCCATAGTACACTAGTATAACATAAACAATAATACCGAATCTGTGTGGTTAATCAACTGATCAAATCTAAAAGTTTAAGAAGTTTATGAAAAACTATCAGAAGGAAATATTGTATATACAAGTAAAGGAAAATACAAAGTGAAGACAAGTAAACTTGTAATTCATAAACTTTTTTTAGTGGTGAAAAACCTGGAATTAAATTAGCATTCATCAGACTTCCCTTTGCTCTCAATGACCTAAAAATTAACATTCATTAAGCTTCTTCTTGATCACAAACATATTTGTCTTCGACGACCAGACAAGTAGATATATACATAAATATACGAATTTCAATGTAATGGAAGATTTTAAATCCAAACCGAAAAATCTAAATATTAACAAATATCCGGGCCACTGTTTTCAACAATAAGCTTTATTGGTACATACTTTATTAAGATAAAGTAATTACCACACAGACCCTATATGCTTTATAATAGATTATTTTTGCTTCAGCGTTACCAATCATAACTAATTTTGATCTTCAGATCTAATTTTAAGGCAATGCTGTAATTTTATACACTTATAGACTACAGTTTACGAGTTCTTTTGTCAAAAAGAACATCCAAAAGAAGTAATAACAAGAAAAGGCAAAGCTCGGGGCTAGATTAGAATATGAGGTTTTGCATATTGTGCCCTCTCCTCCATCACATGCATTTCCAAAGTCCAAGCACCCTGAAAAACTCCAAAAACTTGCTGAGTGCTATTGAGGCAATGAATCCCTGTGCACATAAATGGAACCGAGAGTCTTCAGCCTGTGTCTACAAATTGCGGTGCAATTTAGAATCAGGTGTTCTGGTGTTTCCGGCCCCATGTCGCAGAACCGGCAGTTGCCATAAGGAGCTATGCCCATGTTTGACAGATGTTTCTTGAGCCTGCAGTGCCCAGTGTAGAGCGCGACAAGGAGCCGGAGTTTGTCTCTGGGGAGGTTTATCATTACCCTGAACCTGGCTAGATTGAACCTCCCAGTAGCAGTTTAGCATGACGCATCCCTGTTGCTTGTTGGAAGTGATTATCTCTGCTCGCTCTCTCCTTCGTGCGGAGCAGCTCTTTTATTGTATGGGGCCCCACCGCAATACATGGTTCTGTCTCCATCACTCTGGAAGCAGCAGCAGAGCGGGCGTTTTCGTCTGCCAACTCGTTACCGGCTACCCTTTTATGCCCGGCACCCAGATCAGGTGTACATGGTTGCAAGCGATAGAATCTCATAGGCCGATATCGCTTTTAGCGTCGCTTGGCTATCGCTGAGTATTGCGATAATTGCGTTGGAGATTTGTTACTGCACACTGACTAATGGCAAATACTTCTGCCTGAAAAATGCTAGGAAAACAGCCCATGGGAATGGAAAGCTTGGTATGCGGTCCCGCAATGCCAGCTCCAATTCCTTCCGGTGTTTTCGAGCCGTCAGTGTACCACTGAATAGTGCTGCCTCTCAGCAGTTGGTCGAATGTGGAATCGCTCTAGTCCGCCTTACTGCCGAGAGTAACTTTAAACTTTTCCGTAAAGTTTACTCTCTTTGTTACGCCGTCTCTTGGAAGAAGGACCAAGTGACGTGTTATCCTCTAAGGCCCTCAATTGTTGAGACGAGATTAACTTCCCTTTTCCAAACCCCTCTGCTGTTATTAGCAGGTTCGCAGTCTGATTAATAACTAAATGGAGCGGTGTGAGCTCTAGCATGACCTCAAGTGCTGCGGTGAGGGGGTGTCTAGGAAAGCACATATCGCAACCTCATTAGTCTCCAGCGAGTTCTGGATCTCAGCCGTTAGTTGGTATAGAGCAATATTAGTAGACCTACCTGCTCTGTACGCGTGCTGCTTTGCATGCAGAGGTGCGACTTTTAGCGCTTTCGATCTTATGTGGTTGTCTATAATATTTTCCATACCTTTTAGCATGAAGGAGGTGAGACTAATAGGCCTGAAGGACTTGGCCAGTGAATAGTCCTTCCTTCCTACCTTAGGTATGAAAATACCTTTGCTATTCTTCACGCTTATGGGATATACGACAACGCAAGGCTATCTCTCATCAGTTCAACAAGGTACGGCAATAGAGCTTGCTGCAGAAGTGCTGGGAAGATTCCGTCAGCCCCTGGTGACTTATATTTCGAGAAGGAAGCCAGTGCCCACTTGATTGTCTGCATTGAATAGATTCTTTGCAGCTGTCCAATTTTAGTGATCTGGCTTATGGGCGACCACTGGTGGAATTTGGTCGTCCCCGATAGTCTCCGGGAAGTGCTCAAGCAAGAGTGCCATTGCCCTTTCATCTGCGGTGGTCGTATAGGTCCCATCAGATCTTTTCCTTCCTGCCTCACTCTACTGATGTTTGACTCTAAGGTCTCTCTGAAGACATCCCAGTTTGTATTTCTGGGAATACGGGCTGGCAGAAGGTCCCTGACCGCCACTTTCAGTGCGAACCGTACGATCCTGTGATCTGACATAGAGGACTCTTTCGATACCCTCCATTGTGAGATCAGCCCAGACATAAGCTATTGCACAAGTTCGGGGCTAACCAAACATTTTATACTTTCGCAACTTTGCAAATATCAAAGCCGGGAAAAAGTTTTTCATATTTTTGGTAAAACGATAGCAATAGAAACTGGCGTCCACATATTCGGTATTTGGGGGCAAGTTTTGAAAAGTTTTAATACGACTTGAATTATTTTTGATCAAAAGGTGGCATACCTCACAGATTATAAGGGAAGTAGGCCCATTTAAAAATATTTATGTAGGAATGTCAGAATAATGTAAACTCCCGAATTTGGCTGAAATCGCTCGAGTAGGTCCTGAGATATGTCTTTCGCCTAAATGTTGGCGGTGCCACGCCCATCGTCCAAATACGTAACCCACTCCTCTTAAGCTCTTTTGTCCCATTTGGGGTGTAAAATTTTATGTCTCTGGCGCATTTAGTTACAGATTTATCCCACTTTTAGTAGTTTTTAACATTACCGTTATAAGAGGAGTTATAATCTGAACTCACCCATTTTCACAGGGTAAATGGTTCAGGAGATGTGTACCTTAAATTTATTAGATTATTTATTATATAACATATTGTTTTATCCATAGATGTCTTTTGCTAATGGCGTTTTGTAGGCGTGGCAATGGTCCGATTAATGTGTACATATGTACCAAGTTTCATGAAGGTATCTCAATTTTTACTCAAGGTTTCGCTTGCACAGATGGACTGATGGACAGACACTCGGAATTCAAATCGTTTCGTCCTACTTCCCATATAAAAACGCTTTTAATTGCATCTGCTTCATTTACTTCACGGTATACAAATCAAGCATTAATAAATATGTTTGGATAAAACTTTGCACAAAAATTGCCTTTGAAGTATGCCATCTCGGGTCTAAACATATACAAAATCAGAACATAACTGTTCAAGGCCCCACATACCGAATATGTAAACCCCAGTGTATATGGCTGACATTTTGCTGAAAATCAATCTATGAAATATATTACTGAAATTCGGGAAATATTTCTTTGATAATAATACACCCTTGTGTCGAAAATGGGCTAAATCGCATCAATACTTCCCTTAGTCCCAATATACCAAATATAAAGATTTTCGAACTTCCAGTTGACCTTATACCACATACATATATGTATGGGCTTGTTACTTTAATGAAATTGAGAGAGCGTGTTTTTCTAATGACAGTGTATCTTTGTGCTTAAAATGGATAATATCAGTCGAAAACTTGCCTTAGCCCCCAAATAACCGATATTCACGATTTTGTAACGTCCGGTTGACTTTACTACACATATATGTTTATATTTATATATTTATAAATTTGCTTGAAAATAAATTCTCAAGTATATTAGGGCAAAGTCAACAATTAAAGCAGTCAGCCCTTCCATTTTTGTGCGCCCAACGATTTTAGTATAATTTTCACTGACGGGAAGTAAAATATAGTAATAAAACTAAGTGAGACTATGACCTTCAAAATAAATGAATATGATACCAAATTTGATTGTAATCCATTGACTATTTCGACGAACAATAAAGTTGAACCTTTTCGCTATATTTCCTTATGTAAAGTTTTGGCAACACCTGAAGGTATTTCCTCGGTTTTGTTCGGTTACACCCCACTTTACCCCTTCCTTACTTGTTTATATAAATTTTTTGAAATAACAAAAATAGCGAGTACAAAAAGGGGAAAATCAACGACGACAGCTAAAATTATTTGTACAGAGTCCACCACCTTTTATATCGGAATATTGCTTTGTTATTCAACCAATGGAGTTCGTTAGGTTTGCTCTTGAAACCTGATTTTAGTGAAATTCTATTCAAGAACTCCTTCGCACCGAAACAAGGCTCCGAAATAGTGAGTAATTAAGAATTATGAAATCATTGTATACTCAGGACAGTCTATTTTTGTGGCCAATAAAAAGGTCAACTTGATTGATATTGTATTCGCCAAGTAATCCTAATAAATTGTATAGGATCAAATTAAAAAGAATACGAAAGGTGTGGCACACCCTGTATATAAACCAAACAACTAAGTTTGCGTGAAGGACTAAGTATTGGGAGAAAGCAAATGTTATATTAAGACTTTACTGAATACTTGTATAAATTCAGTTGTTTTGATAAAGTATCGCGTCTACTGATCGTGAAAAAAATTTAGTTATATACTTGTAATTGAGTCATTATAGCAGTCATCTATTCGCCAAGTGTTGGAGAAAAGCAATTCTGTTGCGATCCTATTTTTGGTGGAACAATTCTTCCTTCCTCGTCAAAAAGGAAATTTTGCTAATTCCTTAGCTTTATTTTCTACGACCAATTATAATTTATTTAGCACAATCTTAAAATAAAATAAAAACATAATACCATACATATCGTATATATTTGTATTTTGATTTTTGTGAATAATTAGTCATTTATGAGTATAGCGGTTATTAAAGTAATATAATGAGGAAGTTTGCGAATCCCTTTTTTTCGATTTAAGCTCGATAACTTTGTTGTTGCTTTTACATGTAATTTCTGTGACTGTTTGCAGCGCGCAAAGATAGCGAGAAAGCTTATATTTTGAATTTCAATATCTTTCAAGTTTGGAGTCTGTTTTTCTCAAACTCCCATCCACATTTGAGCTTTCATCAAAGAAAACTTAATCAAGTAGGCATTTGCCATCCAAAGCACTTTCTGTAACTCATACGAAACTTGCCAAATTACAACTTCTTTATCTAAACGCACTTGTAGCTGGAAATCTTACATCTTGCCATTATGTCGACAAACTTGATTTGAATCTTAAGCAATAACACACACACGCGCACACTTTCAATAATTGAGTTAAACTTTTTCTTGTTTCCTTTCTAATTTCCTTATTCCCATAGACACACCTGTTTGCAAGCATTTGGATCGTGTCATACTAATTGGCGCCTCAAAGGATGAAACTGTCGAAGTCACGTGTGAAATACAAGCCGATCCGCCCCCCAGGTAAGTGTACGTTAACCACATCGACAATGCCTATAATCAAGCATAGTGTAACCCGTTCATCAATGTCAGCTTTGAGTGAAACAAGAAGGGGATTTGTGGAGAGATGGTTCAGCATTGAGGGTTGAGGGAGTTGCCAAGCCAAATGGGCAGGCAGGTAGGCACAACAATCATAGAAATTAGCAAAAATTGTTTGTGTTTACCCATGCTGGTGCTTTGTATCCACCATTGTAGTTGCACACAGCGTGGAGTAGAAAAATTGTTTTGTGTGAAGAGGCAGGCGGCAGTAACGGTTGTTGAAGCGGCAATCGCACCTGTGTGCGGATGTTGAGTGTGAAACTTTTACTTCCTGCTCGTTACGTTGCCAACTAAACTTTGTCTCATTAAAGCTTACACATGTACATACTGCAACACACAAACATGTGCTTGCCAACATTCCCTAAAATTTGTCGTTTGCTGCCATACTCATGCAATGCGCCTACGAAGAGCTATAGCCGGAAACAAATAGTAATTAATTTTCGCTGTCCGATTGCTTTGCCGCACACAAATACCTATGAGTTCTAATTGAATGAATGAATGAATGAATGTGACAACCACATACAAACACGCTACGTATAAGGACGGGTCTCCTTACCAGTTTACTGTGTTCGATTGTTATTTAAGATCTGTATAAGGAAGCGGAATGTGCTTGGATGAGGCAGTCCTAAAGCTCATTCATCATTTTGGGAGCGGTGTCAAAATGAAGTGTGCACCTATGTGTGTAAGTATTTATGTACCGTGCGACACCTACCTAAGCAATACGTCAAAATACTCACTAAGAACGATTGGGGAGTGTAATGAACCAGTGAAATTATATAGATGGCGGCGGCAAATTCTAACCCTATTCCAGTTATTGTGGCAAATACCGCTGAAGGGTATTAAAGTAAATTATATACTAAAATAAGTGCGTTTTGTTCTTTGTATAAGCGAGGACTGTATAAGTACTTACCGTTACCGTCTGATGCGGGCACTACGCAAGAGATACAAATAGTTAATTTTCGTCGTTTACTGTCAAAAAAGTTAGTCGAAAAGTTATATGTTAGTTTGGTTTTGATAGCGCCTAGAAGCGACATTGTCCGTAGATCTAAGACAAATGGAGAATCAGTCGGTAATTCGATTCTAGTGGATTTGGAAGGCTCGTAGATATGGAAGAAAACTCACAGTGCAATCAAAGAGCGACTATAATTGGTTTAGAAATATCTCCGACGTCGCGATGGAAAATTTGGTCGAATGAGGCTAACACCTGCTGACCAAAACCTGGTTCAATCCAAACTAAGCCCGCTGTGACTTCGCTTTTCCCAAACTTCAAAGAGTCAAACGCAGGTCAAGAATTATCGGAAGCCTATTTTACAGACTTTCAGAACATATATTTTCAGACAGGTTGAAGCAGTTGGTGAAACGGTAGGTCAGGCGGTTCAAGCTAAAATAAAACTGCGTTGATTAATTAGTCGCCATTTATCGTCAAATTTTCGTTCTTTCTCTTTATGCCATGTACTTATCGCACCGCCCTCGTCCATATATACATACATACTTTTATATTCATAGAGACTGTCATAATTAATGGCGCACAATCCATTGCCTTTAGGTGATTTATAAATTAAAGTTTGTTATAATTAGCTAATGTCATAAATTAATTAGCTGAAGTGTTACTTTGACATTAAACAGGGGCCATAAAATATTTTTGAGATATTGCTATACAAATTTCGGCAATTAATTTCAGTTATTTAACACGATTTTATCGCATAAGTTGAATCGTGTGAGAATTTGTGTTAACTTTTTTCATAAATTATTAAAAACATACATTTCTTACAGAACTTTTCGTTGGAAGTTCAATAATTCGGGTGAAACATTAGATGTGGGCAGTGAACGCTTTAGCGTAAATGACAGCAGAAGTGTGCTCAAGTACACACCGATATCTGATCAGGTAAGTAAACGGTGGTTGATGAAAAAAAGTAGACATTTGTTTTAGTTTTATCTTTTTTGTAGAAGGGAAGAGGCTGATGACCTATTCTTAAAGCGTTTTACTAATAAGCAGATGATATTTTAATCAATGATAACTAGAACCTAGAACTTGTACTTTTATTTTTTTGCGCTACTAACGCTTTGATGAATATTATAAACTCATATAAAATTTTAAATAAAATCCAGGCTACACCACTCTAGAAGATATCCACCTGTAAAAAGTATAATCAAATGAAAAAAAATACCATACTTACTTATATGTAAGTTGAAGTAATCAAAAAAAAAAAAATATAAAAATGTTAGGAAATTTTCGGCAATATGGTCTTCATTGTGAAATTATGAGTGTACAAGTCGGTAAACTAGCACTAAATCATACATCTAGGCACTCATTGTCACTACAAATTTCAGGAAATTTGTTTTGTCAAGCTTCCAAGGTAGTTGAAAAAAAACTGATAAAATTTTTAAATTAATTTAAACAAATCTCAGATTGAAATACATCAATCATCATACAAATTTGCTCTTAATAATTTATCTATGAATTAATATTAAATGTATATAATTTAATTTTATTAAAATGATTATTTAGTAATTTTTATTTTTGACTGCCAAAAAAAAATTTTCTAGTATGGCAGTTATCCTAGAAAATTCAAAATAATTTTTCATTTGCTTTCGTAAAACGCCGTTGGAATTTCTATATCTTTTTATGTTTATTAAAATCATATTCTTGCTACTTCTCTATTTTCAGGATTACGGCACTCTATCCTGTTGGGCTTCCAATGAAGTTGGTACGCAAAATCAGCCGTGTCTCTTCCAAGTCGTGCTAGCTGGTAAGTAAAACATAGCGTAGTAGAAACTTTATTACTGATCAGAAAGTTAAAGATGAATATAAATTAGTTTTGGAGTAGTCAAGAAATCACAAGAAAAATTTCCCTTCTCATCAAAATTTTTCTTTCACCACAGTTAAAACGGTTAAAATAATTATAATTGCGTAGAAATAAAAACAATAAATATTTGTATAGAATACATATTTCTTTATTAAAACAAGTCTTAATTACTTTTAAGTACGTTTAAGACAATATAATTTTATAAATTCAAATTGGACACAATTATGACCCTTTAATTTGTAACGATCAGAATGGTTGTTAAGTAAATTAACATCTCAACAATCAACAAAAAATTATGGAAAGTAATATTATTTAGAAACAGTTCATGCACGAAAATTGTTTACGTTGGAATTAAATCTGACAAAGCTACAATAAAAGTATAAAGTTTTAAAAGTGTTGACGTAGTTGTTGTTCTCCGGGGGGCCAAAAATAATGCATATTTTTGAAGACGTCGGTATTAAAATGCGTTAAAAAGTTTTCCATTATTTAATATTTAAAGGGATTCATAATGATTTTCTTTAATCTGAAAAGGTAGTTTAGGCATTAAATAAGCCATCTGTCAAATTTTTGCACCATTAAGTTTTGAGTTATATTACGACTGTTTCTAAACGGTATTTTGTGGGATTGTGACGTCATGAACGACAGAGGGTTTTGTTTACAATTTCTACGGAAGTTTGACTGTTCACCAGCAAGTCACGGCTATCGAAACGCCAATACATTGGAAGACTTACCGTGTAACTCGTAAAATCCTTTGGGTCAAAAAAAGAAGACCGCTCACACGTACACAAAAGTTTCGGTTAGAATTGTCAATTGGGATTTAAGAGACTCATAGAAAATTTAACAGAAATCCCTGGTAGCGCTCTTGGGTAATTAACTAGTGATTCAACCGACATAGCGTAAAACAATCTAGAACTCTATTGTTCTTGGATCGTAGTTATTATTATTTTGTCTATCTGCGGTAAAATGTTTCCTTGGTAATACACATGTGGTAAGAGATTGATATTTATTACTTTCGGGATAAATTTGTATAAATATATACATGCCACAAATATTAAGTTCATAAAATAAATACTATGATGTCAGCAGTAGCATTCATTGTACCTAAAATAAATCAATCTCCCAATTGCGTTTACTCATATTACTAAAGATAAGTCTCAAATATGTATATGCTTTTCGTTCAAAAGACCGCATATTCTTTACGCTCTTCCAGCTCTCCCCAATGGTGTTTCGAATTGCTCCATCGTTAATCGCACGGATGTCAGTGTCGACATTCAATGCATTCCCGGCTATGATGGTGGATTGCCACAGATTTTCGTACTCGAGATGTTCTCTGCACGCACAGGACTAACAAGGTAAATGGAAGTTGTTGTATAAATTAAATTCTGACAAATGTTAAAAATATGTGTTTGTATTTATATTTGTATGAAATAATAAAAATAAATAAATTTATTAAATGCACCACTTATACTATGAACAGAGTGAAAACAACTGTCAACCGACTGCAGCTGTCAAATTATTCCTATATGGGTATTATCATAATTTATGCAATTTGGCAACGCGTCAAGTGTAGCTTAGTCTATTTTTATTTGACAGCCGGTAAATACGATCTTTATTTGCTTTTTAATTTTCAATTGGTCTGCCCTCAATTGTCTCTTTATCTGCATTTTATATTAACTTTTTACCTATTATTATAGTATATAATTTTTACGAAATGGTTTTACGAAAAGTTCAACACAAATTAAAAACTGTTAAATAAAATATGACAGGCAATTCTAAATGACGCAGTTAAAAGTAGTTGTCATTCGGCGTCACTTAAATTTTTCTAGAAATGCAGAAATTAATGGAATATTTTTGACATATGTCATGAAGTATGTATATTGAGGTTTTTATAGTCGAAAACAATATAAAGTAAAAATAATTATATTGTAACGGATTTCTCGATAAATCGTCTACCTGTAACTCACTCTTGAGTTCGATCACTGGATTGTTAAATAAAAGTCGCAATTTAATGCCTACACACTTATCTTTATTTCTAATTCCAACAACTTAACACTTATTGCTCGTTATTTGAGCTTACACTTCTTGCTTATGTCTCAATTGTTCTTATCACGACAACACTCTAACTAGAACTGTGTTTGCTGCACAATCCGGCAGCCCTTATATAGTAAATCTGTAACAAAACATTGCTTCTAGAACATTCTGGCAACTACGAATTCGCTAACTAGTTGCTTCTGGCAGTTTATCGTTGATTCGATTTTGTTCTATCATCCGTGTTCGTCACAATATTGATACCGAAAAAATTTTATATAATTTTTTATAAAATTAATTTGGCATATATAGGTATATATAAATATATAAATAAGTACATGTGTATTTATAATTTAACCCCAAAGGATTACAAAAAATCTTAAGTATTTGAAATTCAATTTTTGATTTGTTTAAATTTTGGATTTTCCAACAAACACCTTATCTGCTTGTTTTAGGCATATTATTTTCATATAGTCATAAAAATGGCAGAACCCTGAGGAAATGAAGAAAATAATGCTATAAAAATTTACGACATTTATATGTTCTTGTTTACTTAGTTGTGCACATACACATATGTGTATAGACCCATAGATATGCATAAATGAAAACATTGTGTGGACAGGTCTCAATACTAGATATATTATACTTAGTGTGGGTAAAGAGTGAAGTTACACCCGCGTGGGCGTCTAGTGAACATGTTTTGTGAATAAATATATATTTATGTGTATGTGGTTTTTAAATTTTGAGCCTTCTATGTTTGCGTAAATAATTTGGTGTATTTTGAAATTTCTACAAAGCTGCGCTGTGTAACTGTTATGCTATAATGGTGTATATGCCGGTACGAATTTACCACAGGTTTTTGTAATATACATATTTTAATATTTAAAATCTCGTGTTAGGGGTTTGGAGTGGTAGCAACGAAAGTAAGAAGCTTACATGAAACACTTTTCAGTTTTTCTGTGTACTCATTCGTATATACTCCTACACACACTGTTGATTAAAATATTAGAGACAAAACTTAGAACTTCGAAGCACACAGTATAAGGGACAGAATCCCGAAAGTTTAATGAGTTGGGTCTTTCGGTGTGTTTACGAATAATAATTTTGATGAAGATTTATAGAACTTCATGTACTGGCGAAGCGTAAATCTAAGGCCTGAATCGATGCTATTTACTATTTTTAATTTGATCTTAATTTAAGAAGAATAGTTCCTTTAATAACCAACACCGAATATTTCTTTGAACTCTGATGATGCTGCAATTGAACTGAATGTTCGGAGGGCTAAGTGGGCACCACTGTTAAAATTTTAGATTATTTGTAGAGAGAGTAAAATATTTATTCAATCAAAATTAGTAATTTCGATAGATATATGTACTGATTTATTTTATACCACGTGAGAGTCGAATATCAGTTATGTACTCATTAAGTATTTCGTCAAGAGAGCAGTTAGCTAACGAGTTCATTCTGTTTCGTCTGTCTGTTCACCCTACTGCCATCAACTGTGAACGTCATTCCGTTATATTTTCACCCTTTTACCATTTAATTTGTAACAGCCAGATGGGAACATCGAAAGTTTTACAAAGTAAATATATCGACTTGAAATCTTGCACTCGTCTTTTTCTCTTCAACAAGCTGCACATGTGTCTGATCCGCCGATGTCGGACCACTATAGGATATATGTAGCTGCCAGACAAACTGATCTATTAAAATCAAGTAAAATTGGCAACGATACAAACTCCCAACAAATTTAAACAGTGCTATCAAAATCCAGATAAAGATCTTTTTATACCCTCTTACCTCCGGTGAAGGGTGTTATAGCTTCGGTGCGGCCGAAGTTATCGTTTTTTCTTGTTTCATTGTAAAAAAATTTCCTAACTAGTACTTGAAACTATATATACAGCTTTCTATTATACCATATATTTGTTAATTAAAATTTTTACTATTATCTAGTATGCGCGTAATTATGTGGTGTTGTGTGTTGTCTGGGCTGTGTGTAAGCCTACGCCAACGGCAACTTTTTTTACTGACTACACGGTAGACTACAGACTTGAGTTAAGCAATAAATATGTCGAAAGTCTGATGAAATTGCTGAATAATTCTTACAATCTGCACTCTTCGGCTTCATATACGAATGTCATTATGTCCTATGTATAGATCTGCAACAAAATTTTTCTAACTTCGACAAAGTAACGCTATATTAACCTGGAGTAAGGATACCATTCGCTGAGAGTCATGCCACACCTCCATTAACTCTCTTCTTACAAATAGCTCGTGTTGACACATCAGCCCTGTGTAACTATTGCATAATTGAGTAGCGGTGTCATAGCTTATACAAATATAATATTATCCTTCACCTTATTAACAATATACACCATCAGATATGACCCGGGCCACCAAAAAATCCAACTTTTTAACATATTTTAATACAAGTCTTTATTATCATCTTAAAAAAAGAGCCATCACGCATGCAAACGCTTAATCCAATTTTCCATACCCATTTTATACGCCGGCTTTAAGTGTTTTCGGCAAACTTGGATTTTTTCACTTTGCAATCTCCACTGGGTTTTGCATAATTTTTTGGTATGAGCATAGCATTGAGATGATAAAAATCACAAGACCAAATTTTCGCGTTGTAAACACACACTAATCAACATATGGAGATCAAACTTCATACGAACACTAAAAAGTTTGTAGTAATCTGACAAAACATTTTTTATCGATTCGAATCAAGTTGATTTAGCCATGTCCGTCTGTCTGTCTGTCCGTCTGTCTGTATATATACAAACTAGTCCCTCAGTTTTTATGCTATCGATCTGAAATTTTGCACCTGTCCTTTTCTAACAAAGAAGCTGCTCATTTGTCGGAACGGCCGATATCGGACCACTATAGCATATAGCTGGCATACAAACTGAACAATCGGAATCAAGTGTTTGTATGGAAAACTCTTTCATTTGACGAGGTATCATCATGAAATTTGGCATGTATTATTATTTAAAGCATTAATCTATTCTCCGCATATAGCTGCCATACAAACTGAACAATCGGAATGAATTGCTTGCATGGAAAATTTTTTTATTTGACGAGGTATCTTCACGAAATTAGGCACGAGTTATTGCTTAAGGCAACAAATTATTCTCCACAGAAATTGGTCAGATCAGATCACTATATCATATAGCTGCCATACAAATTGAACGTTCGGAATCAAGTTCTTGTAAGGGGCCTTTGTATTTGTGAAGGGTATTATAGCTTCGGCGCAACCGAAGTTAACGTTTTTTCTTGTTGTACTTTTGTTGTATCCGAGCTTTTGTTTCTCTACCATAAAAGTACTGAACATTGTTATTTGATATAAACAGTACAGCATGATTTACATAGACATAACTTTTACAAACTTGCAACATACGTACATACTTACATACTTGTATGTACATATTTTCTTAAAGCGTTTTGGATAACATAAATTTTTGCATCAAGAAATACAAATGTATTTGAATATTGAAAAAGAAAGAAAAACGCTCCAGATGCTCTTTCAATTCGCTAGCTACCAATATTCTAGGAAAAACACTCACGCTTGGCGAGTAGCACAGAGAAATTGATGTGCTCTTTTGCATGAATGCGCGGACAAATGGTATGTGTGCAGATTTTTTCTCCAATTTGGCTTGAGGTACAATTGTCCTTGTTGGCAGCCAGTGCGTGCACGTGTGTGTGCGCGCATCCTATATTTAAGCCTAGTCAAGTCGATACGTTTGGGTTACGTTTTAGTTACCGTTGATTCGGTTTTAGCACAGTTCTGCATTGAACGCCTGTTGGCTTTTCCAACTGTTTTAATGCTGGCATTGCTTGGAAATAGATGTGTGCGTGTGTTTATATGTGATTGTATGTGTGTTGGTGGTACGACGCCAAATACAATAATCAAATTCAAATTGAGGTCATGATTGAAAAGACATTAAGGGAAGCTGGGTTGACTGGTTGCTTTGCCGTATGGTCGATTGGCGAACGCTTCATTTGTTTGGTTGGTTGTTCATTTCAACGCCTGCTCGTTTTCCGGCTTATTGTGTGTGCCCTAGCGGTTATGGATGTTCAATGCAAATGCAAAGGTATATTGGCCTTGTGTATATGAGTGTGTGTAATCGGGCATGATGCGTCCTTTTTCGTAAGCGAGTTGGTTGCTTTTATGGGCTTGGCCATTGCACGCTTCTACTCAAATAGAGAGAGAATGCCTAATGTGGGTCTCCGAGTTTCAGCAGAAAGACTGCATTTGCCTCGAATCTCAAATCATGCCGAAATATTACCTTTAGTAGCAGTTGTGTAATCTTTATGCTATCAAATACATCTTTTCTTCGATTAAGCTTAAGATTTTCATACATTTATTAATTTATGCATTTCCAGATCAAATTTCACGTTTAGAACTACATTCTCTAAAATTTCTGGAAAAGTTCCACCTGGAAGAGATAGTTTGCTCTTTCTCCCCCTATCGGTCATTATCATTTGTAAAACCGCTTGTTCCGAATATGATCGATTTCAAACTTTGAACTTTTTTTGTAAACTTTCAGAGTATGTTAAGTGCTTTTCGTAAAAAATTATTAATTTTTCGGAAAGTCAGAACATATTTTATCTTTTCTCTCAGCCACTCTAAATTTTTACACAATAAGTTTAGGAAAAAGAGAGATCAAATGAATATTTAGTGGTTTGTTTAAAGAGCTTTTAACAACTTTAGATTATTTGTAAAGATTATGGATTTCAAATAGTTATAATAGCAAAAATAACGAATAATATGTTAATTGAAAGCTTACGAACCTACTAGGATTAGAGTTTTAAAAATGCTACTAAGGACTCGAGAACTCTTGGTAGACTTTTGAATTATTCATTTAAAACACCATGTTAAAAAGCTAATATTATATGAGCCTTTCTCTCATGATTTCTCCGAAATGGTTTAATCCATCGATAGGTTGTGGTTTTTAGACGTGCGCTTTTCGGTGAGGCAATACTTTTACGGAGTTGGTCATTCTGCCAGCTGTCACTTGATTTATACTTAGTTTGGCTTGCCATTTCACAATGAACAGAACAGACTCCGAAACAGCGTTAGCAAATAGTGCAGATTTATTACTAAAATAACGGTTCGGTTCGCGTGACGCATCGCTCATGCGTCCAATATTCGGTCGACATAATTGCCGAGCAGAGGCGATAATTCGAGCAACCATGGTTCGGTTTCGCACCACGTTTCCTCTAGGTTATAATGATTTTCGGTAGGATCTTGGTTTGCGGGCTAACAAAATCCAACTCGTGCAAGACCAGAAGCCGAACGACTATCAAGCGCGTCGCACGTTTGGTGAATTGGTCTAAAAGCAGATGGCCATCGATCCCGATTTTCACAAGAAAATTTTGTTTGGCGACGAAGCTCACTTTTGGTTGATTGAAGTGACGATAATCCATAAGCCATTGCTGAGACGCCATTATATCTCAAAAAAGTCACTGTTTGGTGAGCTCTATGGGCAGAGCGAATCATTGGTTTATATTTCTTCAAAAATGGAGCTGTCCAAAGTATTATTACATTCATTTGGAAATGCAATGGAGCCTCGGTTAAAGAATTTTTCGTTCAATTTATTGAAAGAAACTTTTGGGGAGTACATTACCTCGCGTCTTGGGCCAGCAGCGTGGTCTCTACTTCTGAATACCTTCGACAAAGTTAGGGATTCATTAATTTTCTCATATCATATACATGTATGGATCGTTCACTAACTAATTTCGTTTCATGACAAAAGCTGATTTTATTGAATTTTTTCGCAGCCAGCCTCATATTAAATCGCTTTCCCGTAAATATTTGAACAGATGATATAGTAAGACTTGTTCATTTCATAAATTTTTTGGAACAGCTTATGTTTGGTATACTATCGAAGTATGAATGAACCATATTTTTGGCATATTTCACTGTTTTACCATCAAAATGGTACACATTCAGTTCAAGCAAGGCGAAAATTATGTGATGTATATGGAGAAGATGTCTTGACCGAACGCCAATGCCAAAATTGGGTTTCAAAATTTCGTTTCAGCAATTTCGGAATTAAGGAAGCACACGTCCTGGGAGTCCTCTTTTAGCTGATGTGGATAAAATAAAGTCGTTGGTCGATGCAAATCACCGACCGTTTACGTTACTTAATAAAATCGTATTTAAATTGTATTAAAAAACGAAGTTACTTATTGAACGACCCAATATTATATAAGTTATTAAAATCCCAGATGAGTTAGAATAGTAAACATTAAGGTTCGCATATAGCTACGTAGCCCGTAACATTTTCAAATATTCATATATACATTTTTTTGTTTTTGAAAAAGTATATAATGGTTTAGAAAATGTTTTGTATTGAGTCGGTCTGTATCCTATTTTCTATATTTATATAAATACATGCATACGTATTTTTATTGATACGAGTCTATTAAAAATTCAGGAAATATATTATTTTCTATTGATTTTGTACAGCGTGGATTTTTATATGTATTTAGAATGTGCTATTTTTGTGTCATACTCCACTTTTGCATTTTAAATTTTAAAAAATATCCAGTCGGATTTCATAAAGAAAATCTAATCAATTTTTTCTTCAAATTACAGCAGCCAAACCAATTTCAATATTTTGAAAGGATTGTATGGTAGTATGATTGCTATTGGCAACTCTAGCCATTGCGTATACGCAACTTTTTTTATTTTAATGCCGCCTCATGTGTGCGGCTGTTTGTGTGCGCGCGCTTTTGCAATTTTATTACTTACCTTTTTCCCGTTAGCGCGCGCACACACTTTCCACATTGTGCACACAAACGAATTATTTGCCCGCTTTTCAAAGCGGGAATTCTACTCGTTATTGGTATTATGTGATATTTTATTTATGGTGCTGAACAATTTCTGTACATACATAGTTCAGCGTGTCATATACATATGTACAATATATTTGACAAAGAAATAAGGTCAAGTAAATATGCATACATACATTTAGTACACACATACACATACCATATATAATATGTATGTACATATATAAATCCATATATAGAGCGCCAAAATGGAGCCACACAAAACTGTAAAAGCGAAAATGGTACGAAAAGCATGAAAATTAAATTGCTGGTAATGCAAAAATAACAACAAAATAGAATAATGAAAACTAAAATGAAAATTTTTCGGCGAAATGTCGTTGCGAAAACAAACACATAATGCGCAATGAATGTGGGTCTCTGAATCGGCGCACGAAAAAAGGATTATGCATAAGTAAACGCGTAAACATCTTTGCGCAAATGTGTTAAACGAATTTTTGTTGGCATTTGCTGTGAGCACGCATACCCCTACATCCACAGACTTAACGCCAACACTGCTACACTCGCAATCGTCATTGGTTACGCATGCCATCTAAATGCATACCTATGTATACATATACCTATATCCTTCCATTTAGGCAATTTAAATGCCATTTAATCGAATGACTTTCTAACATTTCAAAAATGTGCCACAATACACAAAAGTGCGAAATAATCGAAACGCGCATGAAGGGCAAACGAATGGGTGCATAAAAGGGCGGCTAAATAGGCAAACTTATGTATGTGCATATATGTATGTGTGCGTAATAGCTTATGTGTTCGGCTTTGAGAGGCCTTCGAGCATTTTAAATTTAGCTTAAGCTTAAGCCAACTGTAAACGGTTTTGTTGCTGCTTTTATCCGCAGTCACTTTCAATATAACACACTGTTCACTTTTATTGTACCCTTTCATTTCGTTTCTCCCATTTTGCTTTCACAACAATAATTATGAGCTTTGCCATTGCTTATGAATTTACGTATATATTTTGCCCGTATATTTTGCAGATTTAATTTGACAAATGTTGAGGAGCCACAGTTTTCTCTGGAAAATCTCGATACATTGACATCAATGATGACACAGGAAAACAACTCATTGAAATTGCGCATTTATGCTTACAATCAAAAGGGCCGTAGTCCTTTGTATCTGCTGTCGGATTTCATTATTGGCTCGTCAGCGTACAAATCAGGTGAGTGTGCGGCAAACAAATGTCAATGTTTTTGTTATTGTTTCAATAGCAGTGTATAATAAGTCAATGGTTTTGTTCGTGCTAAGCCAAAAGCCATGAGCTTTGAGTCGAAGCTTTTAAGTTAAGTTTCTATTGATTACATATATATTGAAAACTAATATACAGATGCAGCTATCCTATATACTTGTATATATCACAACATCTCTCTATCACAAGGTCTTGCAAAAATAATACTTGAAACCCTTTTAGTCTCAAAATACATAGAATAACATTTTTTGGGTCTTTGGAAATTTTTGCGTGAATTTGGTCGTTTTACTTATTAAAAATATAAAAGCTTATTAAACAGTGAAAGTTTTTTTATATATAAAAAAATGGATACTTTCATGCCGTTGACCGCGTTCAACTGAAGAAGCCGCTTGCAAGTATTGAGCCTAATTTGCTTCATGCGCTTCAAGTAGACGACGATGGTAGCCTTTCATGTCAAAATTATATCGAATAGGTGAATTGTGTAAGAAACCGCTGCGAAGATTTCACTTTGTTTCTAAAAAGCAGAGGTTAAATAAACCTGTACTATATCATCGACGTTTCTGCACTAAAATTTCTGACCTTCGAGTTGGGAAACAAAAATCGCACAAAGCCAAAACAATCGTTCTTTTTTTAGTTGAGCAACAAACTGCCAAAAGAGTTCGGCATAGTTCTTCATAACTTCATAACTTTCGCATTATTCGGAAGTGGTCTCTGATGTGTATCAATGGGCGACCAAGAAGTTCTTTCACGGTTACCAATATTATACAGAGTAAACCCAACGGCGTTTTAAGGAGCCTACTGTTTCCGAGATCTCACGCACGTTCAACCGGCGGTCTGTCAATACCGGATATGAATCGGGCTTTTACACGTTATTCTTCGTGATAGCTGTTGAAGCTTATTAAAATCAATTGCCATTAAAATAGAAGTATTACCGTATACATCATCCTAGAGTTAATTGGTTTCACTACGCTATAGCCTATAGCCAAGAATTGAATAAAACAATTTTGTTCTTTTTCCATTTTTCTAAAATCAGCAGACGCGAGCTCTTCCATACGCGGTCAATACCAAACCAATAATTTTGTTATTATATGTAATTGTCTACGAGAATGTACTACACGAAAGTAAATTTCTTATGTGATAGTGGCGCTATACGATGGTACGGGTAAGTCGTTATCGAACCGCCCTCGTAGAAGTACTATAGACAACAACGAAGTTAGAACAAATGGTTTTATCGGCAAAATCAACTTCGTTGCCCGGTAAGACCGCCAGTATGCCAGTGCAAGCCTTTTGAATGGCCTCCACGTCTGCATAACGCTTTACTTTCATTGGCAAATGCATTTTTCCAAAAGGTAAAAGTCGCACGGTGCCATATCAGGTGAATACGGGGAGTGGTTGATTGTTAAAATGTGATTTTTGGTCAAATAATCGGCCACAAGCGTCGATCGATGAGACGGCGCATTATCGTGCAACAAACGCCAACTTCCATCTTCGCGATATTCGGGCCGAACACGTTAACAATTAACGTTTTCGCCGGGTGGAACAAATTCTTTGTGGACAATACCCTTTGAATCATAAAAACAAATCAGCATTGCCTTCACTTTTGACTTCTCCAGGCGCGATTTTTTGGGTTTCGGCTCATTTCCCATTTATGTCCTCACGACCACTTTGAAAACGGTGAAACCACTCGTGCACTCTGCTACGGCATAGGCAATCATCGCCATAAACTTGTTTCATCAATTGAAACGTTTCGGTAAAAGTTTTACCAAATTTAATGTTAGCTCTTTGTTCGAAGCTCATTTTCGCACCGATGACAAAAACATACTGACACTTAAAACACAATAACTTCACTTCCAATATATGAAATGTCATGAAACTTTTAGTGGAAGTCGATAAAGGATAACACTAGTCGATATGTATATGGCGCCATTAGAGTTTAATATGTTACTTTTTTACTGTTTACTTTGGAACGCACCTTGTATATATAAAAATAAGGAAAGAATTAAAATTTTGCATTTGCAAGAAGCTATTGAATGAACTCAAATATTATATTTTCCAAATATTTTTATATTGTACAATAATTGTCTTCTAAATGTGATCCTATTATCAAATAATTAGTCCATCTAATAGTTGGAACAGACCAAATTCTTAAGAAATTATCAATTATTATTTGATATATTAAACTTTTTTGAAAATATCCGAAAAAAAGGTTAATTAAAATTAAAAGTTTGATGTCTTGCCGTAGTTTCTATCTTTAATTATAAGGCAAAGGACTTGTGTTATCGAGCGTAATCTGCATCACTGCCATTGGAGAAGAAGTCTTTTTTCACTGTTGGATCGAAGTTCAGGGGGAAGTTGGGGCATAATGTCTTCTCCAGCTGCAGGATGTCCGACCAGTGCAGTATCTTTTAAGCAGAGGTGGCAATCATGCAGGCAACAGATTCCTTCAGATTTGGGCATCACAGAGAACCAATGTTCACAGCTATCCAAGTGGTATTCTCCGTAACCTTTAGCGAAATAATCTACTAAAATAAAATTAATTTAAAAAAAGACTAAATAAAAATAGTTTCAAATTGAATAAAAAATTATTTGCTAAGAAAATTTTACCTTTTGTTTATGAAAAAAATCGAAAAAATTCAATGTGTATATATCTCATTGGAAAGCTGAGAAAAAATCGAAAACAATAGGCTGACTGGTTATTTTTATGACGAAATACTTTTTTCGTATACGCAGTTATTTAAAGGTACCTTTTCGAGCGTTAAAGTTTTAAAAGTTCATAACTCCAAAGAGAATGTTTCGTACGAAAAAAGCTGTTTATTGTTTTAAAAAATAGAAATAAATGTTAAGTTATATATTATATACCAAGGGATCTTAATTATATACATACATACACATATTTAAAGCAGAAAAATAGATTAACCATTAAAAACAATATATAAATTTTAATGCTCATATCTCGTTCTTTTATTTTTTATGGTCGCTTCTCACCTGTTGTTGAAATTAACAACGTATTGTAAATGGATAAAAATATCAACTGGATTTGCTTGAATTCCCGTTAAATGTACGTGCTTGCCGCATTAATGACGGCACGACGCGCGCACTTATGAATTATTATATGTTGACATAAAACGGAAATAACAATATATATATAACATAAAAATGTAACAAAATAAAAACAATGAAACACTTGAAATATTGAAAACAAATATGGCGCAAATAAAAATTAAATTTGAAAACAATCTGGGCGTTACATATACCAACAAACAAAATGGATTGGCTATGGAAAAATGGAAAACTAAATGAAATAAAAAAATGTTTTTATACTTTTTCAAATGCGAACAACATGTGAAAATATCAAAAATTTAAAAACACCATCTGCTTGCCAATCAATAATGTGGCCGCGCAATAATAACAAATTTATTTGAATTGAAAAACAAAATTAACTAAACGCAACACTAACACAAAAAAAATAAAAATAAAAAAATCAAACCCAAATCCCAAAATTATACATATATAAATCTCTCCCAACCTAACGTATATGTTTTTTTTTCGAAATCTCCAACTGTCAACGCGTTGCCGTTTCTCAACGCTTGTGCGGCAGCAGATGAAGTATCCATTACGCTTTCGCCGGTGCTGGTTGGCAGTGGTCTTACCGTTGTCATCATTAGTTTGGCCATCATTGTGCGCATATTCATTGTAACATTTTTGCATAATTTGCGACGCAATCAGCAGCACAGCACCAAACCCATAGTGACCGGTGTGGCAGCGCAGGCGGGCGATGTCCTGAAGGTGAGTGCCGCGAGTGGATGGCGTTGGTCGATTTGCTTTCGGTGAAAGTTGTCGTAGTAACATACTAGATATGCCGATAACAATATTCAATTCACTTTCATTTCTTTTTCTCTTTTTTTCTCAACTGACTGTATTTACGAAAAAAACAAATAAATAAAAAATCATTTCAAACGAGCAGTGCGGTGGCATGGAAAAACCGCGTTGGCAGCATACGGACATTAAAACTAAATCATCCGAAGATCTGGTAGAAGATGAACGAGATCCGGATGTTATACCATCCCAATACGGTGAGTGGAAATTAATGAGAAAATAGATTTAAAATTATATTTGAAATGTTGAATATATAATATGTTAGGTGAGTAACCTGACAGGCCGCATATTAAATTATGATTATACTTGCATTTAGAGGCTTAAGAGCAAAAATATATAAATTATTATGTAACAAAGTTAAGTGTGTTCAGAATATTTTGTATTAATATATTATATTAGTATAAAAATATCAGTCTACGAAAGCATACTGATTTTGCTTTCAGAAATTTGTTGTTTTTAAGCGAACAACACATTTACTTCACTGAACCAATTGAGCTTATTGCAATGATATTTCATATTCTTTAGCAACGATTTGCTAATTTTATATAATACACAATATCCCCTTGTAAGTTCTTTATAGCAATAGTCCAAACCTATATCTGAATTACTTAAAGGGCTAGTTTTGACTCAAATCTCTCCAGCTCCATAATTCAGCTCCAATAACATACTTTCAGGGTTTCAAAAAGTACTAGCGCCGAAGTATTGAATTTCAGATGTCAATCCGAAACTGCACTACTTCGATCGCTTTCACTATGCGACGCGGTTAAATCCAAATCTTTAAAGCTTTATTAGTTACATAACCCATACTCCTTGGTATCTCTAAATCTTCTTTGTAGCGCTACTCCAGTTTAAGTGAATTTGGTTAGATGATATAGTGCCGGGACTATACTGGTTTTGCGAATAATGAAGCAACGACATGACGTATTCGGACACTCCAGAATCGAATGTATCATATTTCAGACTGTTAACAATTATAAGTAAATATACGATAATGTTAGCAGTGGTAGTTTCGAACATTTTTGTCGTTTACCTAAGTATGTTCACTTTAGAGTGAAGTTCTTCTTTAACAAGTCGACAGTTAAAGTACATTGTTCCAGACTAGAAGTTAGCATTTTTTGTATTATAGACTTACTATTTTAAATATAACTAATTAACTAACGAGCATTTTATTAATTAATACTGGCCCTAAAAACATTTCCAAAAGTAACTTACGAATCTTAATTGCACCAAGCCTTTTCAAATATGTACACATAGTGTTTGCTTGGGTCAAATATTTTCTAGTCATTACTCAAATCTGATCTAGACCCGTATAATATAATATGTTACATTTTCTTGTATATAATTTCACTGGGAGAAAGAACAGTCTGTGGTGTCTCAATATGAAACTATTTTTAGAATATAATACTATTTTTTTACCCTGCATAGGGAATATAAAGTTTACTACGAAGTTTGTTACACCCAAAGAAAATTTTGAAGATCCGATGAAAGGTAAAATATGTTTTTTTTAGACGTGTGGTTTTCAATAAGGCAATACTATTGTATATATTTTCGGAGTTAGTCTTTTTGACAGTTGTTACTTGATTTATACTCCGTAGGGCTGGCCATTTCATAATAAACAGACCTACTCCGGAACAATCTTTGCAAATTGTCGCATTTGGAGTGTTGGCAGTCCACACAAGCCATTGTTGAGACGCTGCTAAAACCTCGAAAAGTCACTGTTTGGTGTGCTCTACGGGCAGAAAGAAGCATTTTTTCATATTTCTTCAAAAATTAAGTCGGTCATAATATCACAGTTAATGGGAAATGCTATAGTCATGATTAATGACTTTTTCGTGACTAGATTCGAGCATGTTTATGTAGTGACCTCTGGTTCCAATAAGTCTTCATACAGCCAACGAAACAATCAATTCATTGAAGGAAACTTTTGGTGAACTCATTATCCTGCGTCTGCAGTGGTCTTCAAGATCATGCCATTTAACACCGCTGGCTTATTTTGGGGTTATGTGAACTCGCTTGCTGAAATAGTTTTTAAAACATAATGGCAAACCCTTATCTTTATAAAAAAAAGCTAATTTTTTGGCCATAATAATAAATTATGTTCGTTTTACTTCTTCATGAAAACCGCATATCTGAAAAAAGCACCATTTATATATAAATATTCAGAGTGACGAGGATTTATAACCAAAAAATTTGTATAAGGTATTTCCTATGTGGGAGATTTTGAAAGGTCCCGAGAAAGTTTAGAGTTTTTTGCTCTCAAATATATATGTACTATAGTTTATCAATAGTAAAACAAGCTCAACGCTCTTGGCGCTGCGGTTTAATTTATGGGACTAACTATGCTTGAAAGACTGGATTGATCGAAAGAGCTATTTAGGAAAGGTATAATGAGGGGAATAAACGTGTAATTCAAAATTTGTGAAAGATGCTGGTGATTTTAGTTTTCATTGTAACATTGGCATCTCGCAGACTCGAATCAGATATTCGGGGGTTGAGTCAAAGACACAATGTGGTGTAGCAGTATGATCTAAATTTAGAATTTTTCGCTCCGAATTTGAAGTTTTTCAGTTTTTAATCATATTTTGCTTTCAAAAGAGCTTTTGTAATAATGTAATTCATAGAAAGAAAACCATAATTTTATACTTTTACTCATAATGTGCACAAATAACTAATTATTGAAGCTATAATATACCAAATAATATATAAACACCATAACTTGAATAGAACATTATTTAAAAAAAAATTACAATTTCATTAGTAACAAATCATTTGCTTTCCCTCTAAAATTAACGTGTGGCTTTTCTCTTCATTTCATCGACGCCTAATAAATGCAATGGCAAACAAATTGCAATATTCAAAACTTAATCGCATATATGTGGCATGACAAACTATCCGCAAACCAACTGGCGAACTCTTCAAACTATCTATTAACAATTCGTCACACCAACAACCCCAATTGACAAACCGACCGAACGACTGGCCAACTACGACCGCGAATCGAATGCCGACCAAAAAATAAATGAATAAATGTCAATAAATTGCCATCAAACAGTTACGGCTGGCAATAGTAGTGGCGTCATTGGTGGTAGTGGCAGCAACGTAGGAAGCGGCAACGACAGTAGTAACAGCGGTGATGGCGGCGGCGGCAGCGGAAGTGGCAACGCTGGTAGTTCTGAGCTACACTTTACACCAATAGCAGCCACAAAGTGGTCACCAAATTCCAAAGTGAGTAAAAAATTAAAAAGACATACAGATTTGTGTAAACTTCTTTCTTTTATATAAAAATAAATTTACTTCACTGTTTTCCACATATACATATAATATATTGCATATTGTCGTATGTATGTAAATATTAGGATGGCTGCTATGTCCCAAGTTGTATTTTTTTGTCTGACGCACCCTGAAATTTCATTTTTTGCGCTAAAATTAATTATCCAACCTATACAAGGTCTTTAATTTCAATTTAAACTGTGTCTAAATTATGTTACTTTTCCGATCCCTTTATATATAATATGGGATTTTTTGATCTTTGCTTTAAAACCTTTTTTGTAGTGCGCAAAATATTGTATTAGAATAATTTCATAATTCTTCTTAGGTCAAAAACTGACAGTTCAGGGTGCGTCTGCAAAAGCAAAATAACAAAAAACAACTTGACGGACACTCTAATATACTCGTAAGTATATAGATGCATAAGCGTGGCGAAAAAAATCTTTTTTTTTTTGCTTAGCCTGAGGGTAAAATTTGTAGATTTTAAAAAAATAAAATTTTTGGAAAAAAAAAGTTTTTAACATCTAGAGGCTTCACTTTTAAAGTAAATTTCGAGTTTTTTTTTCGCTCCACCCTAAGATGCATATAAACAAGAAAAAACGTTAACTTCGGTTGCGCCGAAGCTATAATACCCTTCACAAAAACAAAGGCCCCTTACAAGAACTTGATTCCGAACGTTCAATTTGTATGACAGCTATATGATATAGTGATCTGATCTGACCAATTTCTGTGGAGAATAATTTGTTGCCTTAAGCAATAACTCGTGCCTAATTTCGTGAAGATATCTCGTCAAATAAAAAAATGTTCCATGCAAGCACTTTACTCCGATCGTTCAGTTAATATGGCAGCTATATGCTATAGTCATCCGATCCATACAATTTCTTCGGAGATTAGATTAATGCTTTAAATAATAATACATGCCAAATTTAGTGAAGATACCTCGTCAAATGAAAGAGTTTTCCATACAAGCACTTGATTCCGATTGTTCAGTTTGTATGACAGCTATATGCTATAGTGATCCGATATCGGCGGTTCCGACAAATGAGCAGCTTCTTCGTGAGAAAAGTACAGGTGCAAAATTTCAGATCGATATCTCAACAACTGAGGGACTAGTTCGCGTATATACAGAGGGACGGACAGACGGACGGACAGACGGACGGACAGACAGACGGACATGGCTAAATCAACTCAGCTCGTCACGGTGATCATTTATATATATACTTTATATGGTCTCCGACGTTTCCTTCTGGGTGATACAAACTTCGTGGCAAAATTAATATACCCTGTTCAGGGTATAAAAATGCGAAAAGTTTGCATTAGTTTGTGGTGTGAAATTCGAAAATTTAACAATTAAAGAAGGGCTATGTTCGGGTGGAACCGAACATTTTATACTCACGGAATCATACCAAAAAACCCTTATGTTTATAAAAACCTTTATATTAAAAAATGTTGCGAAACAATTCAACATTCATTATTCGACGAAATTGTCAATGTATTCCAATCAAATTTGTATTTTATTAAGTTATAATATATTATAGGTCATATAAAATCTAAGTTTTATTAATATACAATATTTTACTTAGCGTCAGCTAAATTTATGTTAAAATCATCTTCAAATGAGATGTATGTAATATAACTGAAGAAGCTGAATTTAATATAATAATTTGATGCGAAAACGTCAAACAGAGGATTGCAGTTCATTACCTCAGGGATATAACGTTTGGGAAAATTAGTAGACTACTTTCATTCATATTCCTGCGCAATTTTTAAGAAATCTGTTTTATTTACTTTTATTTATCACACATCTTTTTAAGTGAAAAGTCGGAAATTATTATACAGGAAATATCGGAGAGAAAAAAGATGGGCTGATTGAATTAAATTTGACATTTAGGTCAGATTTTCAAGTATTTCGATACTATTATCAAAAGTATCAAGTAAAGTCGTTATGATCCGATATTAGTTATATGGGGGCTATGTCAAGTTTTCACCCAATTTTATTCATTTTAGGCATAAATATACACTGTTATGAGAGAAACACGCTCTCCCATTTTCAGTGAGATAAATCACATATTGGCCGATATATGGGTATATAGTCACCCGGTAATTCGAAAATCTTTATATTAAGTAGCCCCATATAGGGAAGTATTGACTCGATTCAACTCATTCTTGACATACAGACATACTAGTATCAGAAAAGAATCCTCTCCGAATTACTATTAAATATCTCACACATTGATCGATATTTTCGGTAAAGAGTCAACTATACTTGTAGGTACGAGGTTTTATATATTCGGTACCTAGTGGCTTGAACAGTTTTATTTCGATTTGCACAATTTTTCGATTAGCACAATTTTTGGTTATTAGGTGCCTTACTTCAAAAGCACTATTCGTGCACAGTTTTATCTCGTTATATTAGATGCTTCTTGACTTGTATACCGGAAAGTTAAAGAATCAGATGGAATTTAAAATGGTGTTATATGGGAAATAGGCGTGTTTGTAGTCAGATTTTGCCCATTTTCGCACTGTAGCATAGAAATGTCAGAAAAATGTTATGTACCAAATTTGGTGTAGCAGTTCCTGATATATGTGATTTCACTCATCGGCAACTCCTATAAACTCCTCTCATGGGTGCACAAGGAATTTGTCCTGAGCGAATTTGGTTATTTAAGTTTAAATTGTTTGAAAGAAATTTACATTAAACTTTTTGTATCCCAAAGGTGCTCCTTGCTGCTGCGATCACCTGTTGACCGTTTTACAGTTCTATATCTTAATTTAGTGCTTAATTATAGCATTTTATAGATTTTCGTTAAGTGGCGTTTTGGGGGGGGTGATGCGATTGCGAACACGTACACACTAGTTTTTGAGTATTTTTTTCACTAAGCCCAGTCGTATGTATGTCATGAATATTAACTTCTAACGTTTTTAGAGAATAGAATTTATTGCTAAACATCAATGACTTCAAATATTCCCACAAGAAGTAGTCTAATGGTGTTAAATCATAACTTCTTGGAAACCAATCAATATCACAATTTCTTACAGTTATCGAATCTGCAAAATTTTCTCGCAATAAATCGGTTGTTGGACATGTTGTGTGGCACGTAGTCCCGCTTTATTGAAACCAGATGTTTACATATTCAACTTCGGCCATAAAAAGTTAGTTATCATACGAAACGACACTTAGGAATCCTATCATCCCTATTGAAAAATCCGATATATACAGGTTGGTTGTAAAGTTCCTGCTCTCACCAAGAAATATCACTATTAGCTCCTGATATTTTTTTTCAAGTTGATAGGTCTGTCGTGAGAACACATGCAAAGCTACAAGTAATTCTGTTAATTACTTCTTTGTTTACAAGCCATTTGAGGTTGACGTGTCAGAGCATTTTTTTAATATGGAAACAATTGAATATCGTGCAGTGATTAGATTCTTTGTTTTAAAAGGTTTAAAAGCAAAGGAAAATTATGAAAAATTGTTAGAAGTGTACAAAGAGTCCTCACCGTCAAAACGCACCCTCGAATTTTGGCCTGGTGAGTTTAAAAGTAGTCGTACTAGTCTTGAAGACGAACCACGCGAAGGATTATTTTACAAGGAAAATTACATATGAAAAATCTGTTTGAAAAGTTAGTGTCGCACACGTTAACAATTCAACAAAAACTGGATCGTAAACAAATTTCTCGCAATGGATTAGAAACGACAACGACTGAAGCTGGTTGTTCAGCTCCAAAGCAGGTGAAGTCACAATGATCAGCAAAGATGGTTATGTCATCAGTTTTTTTGTGATGCAAAAGTAGTTTTGTTGATTGATAATCTGCAGAAAGGTAAAACAATCAATTTTGAATGTTATTGCAGCCTTTTGGATCAGCTCGATGAAAAAATTCGTGAGAAAAGACCTGGTTGCAGCACAAAAAAATCTTTTTTAATCAAGACAATGCGCCTGCTCGCAGATGTGTTTTAACAATGACAAAATTCAACGAATTAAAGTACGAATTGTTTGAGCATTCACTATTTTCAAAAGATTTGGCTCCCAGCCATTACTACCTTTTCAGAAACCTGAAATAATTCCTTCATGGAAAGCCTTTTCCTAACTCTATATCTATTTCGTTTAGTTTTAGGTGATACAAACAACGATATAATAAATTAGGGGAACAAACCAGATCATTGCGGATATAGTTATTGATACTCATATTTGCAATTAAAGCTGAGATGTTGTCAGCATATTTTTCTAAATTTTTTTATAATTGGTGATTTAGAGTAACCTAGAAAATTTTCAAATATCAAAACAAAACTTTTCCAAGCATCAATTTCCGAAACAGTTATAAGCTCGAAAATATTCCATCTTTCAACTTTTACATTCTAAGCTTGGAAAATTTTCTGTAACTATAATTAAAACAATATCCTCGTCCGTAATAAAAAAAAACCTCTTAAGTCACTCAGATCATTTTGTAAAAATAATGGGGTCGTTCCATAGTTTGTGTGGGTCGTTCCATAGTTTGTGTGGGCATGTTTTGAAACGCAAAGGGAGAAATGCAATGAGCAAAACAGAAAATTTTGTAGACTCTACCCTTAACGGTTGTCTGTAATACCTATAACTAAATAAAGAGTTATACATTTTGTCAGATTAACGATTGAGTTGAATTCCGGAAGTCTTTTTGTCTTTTCGTGCAAATGATAACTTGAGTAAAAACTCAGATGTCTCTATAAAACTTGTTATACTTGTTCCTTTCCACCAAATAGAAGATTGTATGCCAGATGGCGTGATCGGATAATTACCACGCCCTCAACATGGCGAGAAAAATGAAGAAGTAATAGGACCAAGTATGGTACGGAATGGATTGCAGAGGAGAACGGCATTTGTGGGTTACACATTTTGAAAAGTGGACGTGGGACCATTCCTAATAAGTTTGCGGAATTAGCCGAGGCAAAAAAGGCGAAAGAGAGTTTTTAAAGAGTTGAGATCTAAAATTGCTCAGCTACAGAAACAAAAATTTCAACAGATTATAGTTACGATATAATAAATTGTTAAATTTTTATTTATTAAGAGAAAACAATTAAGTCTTTTTAATTTTGAAAAGTGAGTCAGATAAGTCAAATGTGCTGGAATGAGAATTAAAATCATGACATATGTATACGGCGGAATAGCTCGTTTAGTTCAAAATTTGATCTACAGGATTTTAACAGTAAAAGTCTAAACTGCCCCGAAAAGCGAACCAAGATATTAAATTTAATTTCAGAGAGGAGAAAAGAACTGCAAACTGCTCCATTTCAGATTTTCACTAAGAATATTACGCCGAAGAAAATTTTAAGTTTTAAACGACTCTAGTGTATTGATGTAGACTTACCCTAGAATTCCATCGGAAATACCCTTAAACGAAAGACAAAATTTGTTGTTGAACATACTCTAACTTGTTAGAATGGATTTGGTTGCTAGGGTTGTATGGAACCATAGAGCCATATTCCAATATAGGTCTAACCAAAGTCGTAAAAAGTGTTTTAGTAATATACGGATCTCTAAATTCTTTAGACCAACGTTTAACAAAACTGAGGACAGCTTTTGCTTTCAAAACCATGGTATCAATATGAAAACTAAAATTAAGCTTAGGGGGTTACATAAGGAGTGTTGGGTACAGACCTACGAGAAAAGCACATTGTCTAACATTTATTGAGATTCAATGGCATATCGTTTCTATCACACCATGACACCGAATTGTTTAAGTCTGTTTGCATCAGACACCTTTCCACAGTTGGAGTTTCGTCTTATGTCGTCGGCGTATAGTACAATTTTTGAGTATTATATATATTATATTACAGAAGAGATATCGCTAATAAACAACAAAAACATAAGCGGGCCAAGATGACTACCTTGCGAAACACCTGAAGAGACATTAATTGTATCCAAAGTTTTGCTTAAGTCTGTTATATACAATAACATCCGTATATTCCAATGATATGGAATTATGGTATTATGTATGGACATATGTTAAGCGAATTTTTAGCAATCAGTTTTTTATATCGGTGGTTGCTTTTGGTAAATTAACAATGTTTTCCTCAGTATGACTTCTAAGTATGAGCTAAATAAATAAAAATAAATTTGATTAGATTTACGAAACGAGTTAAATTTCGGATGTCTTTCTGTCTGTTTCTGCAAATGATAGCTTGAGTAAAAATTAAGATATCTCTATGAAACTTGTTATACTGGTTTCCACGTAATGGCGTAATCTGATCATTACCACGACCACAAAATGGCATTTAGAGAAATGGTATGGATCATTACAGAGGAAAACGGCATTTGTGGGTTACAAATTTTGAAAAGTGGGACCGTCCCCTTATAAGGTTTATGTACATATCTCACAAACTATGTGCGTGTTTTCTTGACCTCAATATAGTAAAGTGTTATAAGTGGAATTAGTCCAGGCCTTGGTCGGACCCCATTGTCCCAATATAATAATTTTCACCCATCAGGTAAACTTCTTCCTATTATTTCTTTGCCTTTTATCCTTAAAAATTGCACGAGTATAAAATGTTCGGATACACTCGTTAGATGCTACAAACAAAGTTTATTAAAAATTTTAACAAAATTAATTATGTTTTCGGTTCAACAGATGATGTATTAATGGACTTAAGTAAGTGTTTTCTTCTGATAATAATATGTTCTAGAGTAAACAAGTAATGAAATTGGTACAGACCTCGGTCCATCGTCTATATATTTAATATAATCGCTAATTGTTCGAGTAATAATACGACTATCGATATAATATTATATTATGTGCCCCTTTATCCAGTGTGAAATTTTGATTTTTTGCTAAGTCGATAGCACATACCTTTAAATATACCATACTGAAATTTCTAATCAATATATTTCAAGTATTTTTTGAGCTATAGTCTTTTAAAGTGTTGCCGCTCAGTTCTATCAGTTTATGTTTAAAAGCATTTTTCTCGAAACAGCATTTTTCGAACTTGTTGCAGTAATTACTCAAATACAAACAATCCCCCAATCAATTTTAGACATATTCTGTATATATATATATCTGAACAAAAATAAGCAGGCCAAAAAACCACCAGATTTTTGCCTGAAACTCCACTTTTTTTTATTAAGTTGTGTATTGTTTTACCGTAAGTTATTGAACGGACCAAGTCTTTACGAGAGATTTGTTAATGCTTCAACCACGGAAAAGCCCGCTGTTGTGCCTTCTAACAGCGTCATCAATCGCGTCTAACTCAAAGCAAATTTTAATTTATCCTCTAAAAATTTTACTGCGTATTACTTAAATATGTATAAATATTCCTTAACAATTTTAAAACTATTGATGTGTTTTTGTTTTATTTTTACTTCCCAAACATCGTCTTATTTTAGGCTGTCACACTAGGTGTGCCTATTAAGAAGACAATTGTGTTCATGTGAGTCTACGTTATGAGAATTAACCTTTGTTAGAAATAGCTGAGAATTCTTTGTGTGTATCTATAATCGTTTAACTCACTTAGCTTCTTTCCTATGCTTCAGAGAGTCTGCCATTGAGTGGTTCTACATTAAGACACTGTTTTTTCTTCCACTTTGAACCGTCTACTATACCACAATTGTCAACAAATTCACTATAATTTACATGCATGTGACCTCTATATTAGTTTGAGGAGTTAAGATTTGTACCAAAATGTTTATTCAAATGCTAAGTTTAAATACAACATAATTGATTAAAATAAAACTACTTTAATTGAAACAAATTGCATTATTGAGCGATCACCACTACAGGGGTTAACTCTTCAGTAAATTTTGACTTCCTTTATGGCTTTCGTATATGGTATTAGTGTGGAAATTGAAAGTAATAGCATCATTTTGAGACGAGATGAATTTGTATACATATATAATATATAGAAAAATTCGGAGGAATCTTCAAAAATTTGTACATCTGTAACTGTTGACTCGATTCAGCAAATTGCCCGCCTAGGACAAATTTAAACAGATTCGTCACGCCAACGATTTCTCTCAACCTGTCCCATAACGAATTTTCTTTCACTAACTTTAAGAATATCGATATTCAGTTTTTTACCCATTCTATGTGGCATGGCGTAACGTAGTTTATCCCAAAATCTGTCATCTTGCCAATCCAGATATGTCTTCATGTCCAAATATGCCTTCAATTCTTTATCCAATAAACCACTGTTGATAATTTCACCATATTTAATCATAATTATGCGTGTACGACCTTCGTTCAACGAGCACTGATGCGCTGTGCGAAACTCCATGCGCGCCCATTCCGATTCGATGAAGTGCTGCGAGAGAACAATGATCGTACGACGCGACTGCTCAACCGATTCGATGATTTGTTCAGGTATATACGCGCCTGCCAACCAATTCCGATCGTACGTGCATATACAAAATGGTGGTTCGCACTGCTCGAGTTGTGGCAATAAAGTCTGGTTGACGAAGTCAGCGTCTTGGTGTGCATAGGAGATGAACGCATCGAATCTTTTATTCTTATCCAGCTCACGCTCATGAATGCAACAAGTTAATATATTGTGGCTATATAAAATATGTGGCTTTCGCTTGCAAATTATATTTATAGAATAACGCGATGATGAGAAGTAACATAATAATAAGTGACGCTGCAGAAGTGACAGCCACGGTCAGGTACTTATAATATTTAACTTTAATATCAGTTTGGCATAATTCGCTCACGCTCGCTGTTATGAGGGTAACATTCTGTAGATTATCACATCGTAACTGCTCGACATCGGGTATGCGTTGCCGATGTGCGCGTATCGTGTAGAGCAGCTGTTGAGCAGCACAGTCGCAACACCATGGATTTGCACTCAAATTCAAAAATTGTAGTTTCTTGCTCTTATTGAGAAAAGAACGCAAAAAATCAGTACTTAACGATTTTAAACGCTTATTACGTAGATCCAGCACTGTCAAATTGGTTGGAAGTTCAAAGAGACTTATGTTGAAGATTTTATTGTTCGAAGCGTAGAGTTTTGAAACGTTTGCATAGCCGAATGTGATGTTTGGCAGCAAACTCGTGAACTTATTACTGCTAATATCAAGTATCGTAGTCGTGAGCGCAACTTGCTCGGGACGTGGCAGCTTTTCGATAACGTCGAGTTCCCTACCGTTGCAGTTGATGGTCAGGAACTCAGATTTAGTGTAACAAACGCATTTTTTGGGACACAGTACAGGTTGCCAAGCACACAGTTCGTCCCGTCGAAGTTGTGCGATATCCGTAAGTTGTTTGGTTGACGTCTGATTACACTGCAAATCGCTAAAAAGCCTCTGATAATTATCATTGTAAATCCATGCTAATGTGCAATCGCACACGACAGGGTTGCCACTCAATTTGATTTCGCGCTCACAATCATCAGTTGTAGTGAGTAAATTTGATAAAGCGTATATATTTGTAATCAAATTGTGTTCTAAGTTTATTTTTAAAAGGCATTTAACGCTGCTTTTCACCAACCAATCCATATTAAACTGGCTCAACAGGTTGTGACTTAAATCGATTACTCTTAAATTAATATTGCTTCCTTCATAATTTTCAGCTTGCAATTTGCTGATAGAATTTAGAATCTCGGCTATAGTCAAAAACATACCGATATTTTCATATCCGAAATTTGTTAATAGTGCGGAAGTATTGAAGTAATTCTCACTGCCTCGATTACTTTGCAGTTTGTTCCTGCTTACGTCTAACCTATGCAGATAAGGAAGCGGTTTTAGAGTTTCTTCAAGATTTGTGGTGTCATGTAATCGATTGCCAGTGAGTTTCAATTGCCATAGAAGGGGAGTTTGGTTGAAAAGTTCTGGCCTTAAATATGTCAACGAATTGTAACTAAGGTCAAGTATTATAAGTTTATGTTGATTTGCAAATAAATTTGGTGGCAATTCCACGATTTCATTCTGACTCAAGTTCAAGCAATTCAATTGCGTAAGTGGTGCAAAAATATTTGTGTCCAACATTTTCATATTATTTCCGGCTAAGACAAGTTGCCTGAGCTTAGTAAGTTTTTGAAAATGTTTTTGCGTCAAGTTTTGCAGCGTGTTGTGCTGTTTCGTTAGACTATGTATGCTAAGCGTAAGAGTTTCGATTGGATCGAACACACACATATCAAATATATTGGTTGGTACAGTTATAATGTCTGCTGTTGATTTTATGATTACTTCAAAGTGAAGTAGACCTGAAAATCCATACCAATATTCAATTGGTTGTGAATCAAGGTCCCTGTTATACATTACCGTCAGCTTCTTCGGTTTACTCATATACATATACATTTGATTCACTTCGGCAGTCATAAATATTTCGGGAATAAGGTTCTTACAGTTCAGAGTACGCAAATAACGTGTTTTAAGAAGCGCTGTCTGAAATTTTTGCTTGAGTAGAGAAATAATATTTATTTCTGAGTCCTCTTTACAATACACGTCCATGTTATAATAATCAAAGTTGATATTAATTTTAAATTTGTCCATTAAATCACAAATGAAGAAATTTTCGGAATAGCAATCGCAAGAAATGCCTTCTAGCTTAGGGCAATACCAAGGCTTTCCTGGCTTATCCATAGATTCGGTAAACATATTTTTGTAAATGCGGATCATCACAGCGTAATTGTTTAAAATCAGTAAACATATTATATGGGCGAGTATTATTCGCATATTTGGTGATTTTATTTTATTCAAAGTTAATATTTTACTCTTTGCTTGTAGTTTTTAAATTTGTTCTTTCACTAAATCGGGTATGCCGCAGGACCTATTTATCCAATTCTTGCTAAAATACTAAACAATAAATTTCAAACTGCAGCGAATTAAACTAATAAAATCTTTATTACAATTCTTATCAAAAAAAATATTTAAGAAAACCACAAGAATGCAAAGCACTAGTTATTATCTTTGCGGTAATTGTTTGTTGCTGTGATATTAGTATAAAATATTTTTTTAGATTGAATTTACTCTCTCGTAGCGATGGTAATATCAAACAAAGAGAAAACAGTAATCGAATATTTATTTTGAGATCGCGGTAGCGGGGGCACGTGTGGGCTCAAAATATTTAAAAACGAGAGCTATATTCACCGAATTCGGTCACGTTAAACAATTTCGGCATCTTCTCCGATAGTGTGAATATTAGTGGAATCGGATTCTAATCCCGCCCACACTCCAAACAACGGTTATGTTGAAAATTACTGATAGTGCAATAAATCACTAATTAATCCATTTCTGCTCAATGTGCCTGATGTGTTTTAAATAGTGTTCACTGAAAGAACCATATCTAGGGAGTAGTTGGAGATATTTATTTGGTTTTTTTCTAAATCATATAGGAAATATAATATAAAGCAATATACAGGCTTTATAAGGGAAGACAACATTTCGATTAATAGGTGCTTTTTTTAAGGTCAAAATTGAATCTACACAAACTAGAAAATGAAAAATACCAGGAAATCAAATAATAACTAGTTTTCCTTAAGTACTGTTTTTTTTTTAAGGAGCAAAAACAATGTGATTCTTAAACTAACATGATTAGGATTTAGATTACATTAAAAAAGAGTGAAATAGAAGTTTATTTTTTGTTGAGAAATATAGTTTTTTAATAGTTTTAATATAAATTTATATGAAACTAACCAACACATTTTTCGATAAGTTTATGATTATATTTTATTTTCCCTTCATTTCGTGGTGACCCATTATGGAAGTGAACAAAGCATTGTTTTAGATGAAGTATTATATAACATTTTCTGCAACCAATCTGAGAGCGGCATTACGCTCTCCACCAGATTGTCGTGGAGCGGCTTGAGTTATTAAAGCTTCTGCGATTTCTACGCGAAAGTCAAATTGACTTATAACTTTAGCGATGTCATATATTACACATACAACTTTTAGGTTCTACGCATTAACCATTGCTGAATCGAATGCATTTATAAGCAACGGCCAGTACCATTTATTTCCACGAACCTTAATGCGGTAGTTGTTTATAACATTGATCAGCCGATCAACATGTTACCAAAGATATTAAGTTATAACCCTTATTAGCTCATTGGGTACTTCATAACCCATCGCAAATCTCAGGTATACTGAAAGTTACAAGCCTGAAATATCCCAAAGCAACTTCCATTCCCTATATAAACTTCCCCATAACTTAAATACGCCAGAATTATAAAGTTCAAATATGGTACTTAACCTTATCCAGACATTCCTATTACACATTATGTAAAAGTGCGAAATATAATTACTTCATTCACAAGGTGGCGCTCGAATCGTGCTACAAAGACAAATGGTAATATTTTTTTTTAAACCAACGGATTACATTTATTTATTGACATCGGGTCAATACTACTTCTAGCCCTCATTAGATATATGGGTGCTACAATAAGTATTTCAAACTTCCGACTGTCTTTATGTAAGATATCATAGACAATTTAGGCGAACGT